GAATAAATCACAGCAACGGAGGACTGACCAGGTCATGTCTGCAAATCACTGAAAATTGGCTTCAGAAATGGCATTTCTTGCCTTCCCTCTGTTGCCTAACGCAGATATCACGAGGCTCCAGCTTAGGGCTGTGATGCTAACCAATTCTGAGCAATTCTCCACTTGAAGGAATGTTGAGGACTAAGTGATACTGGACCAGCAAGAACTGGGATAACAGATTCCTAGGAAAAGAGGAAGGAATAAAATAGCAGCAAAGACAATGGTGGGATTCAGCCAGTTCGCATCAGTTCGGCAGAACTGGTAGCTAATTTTTTGTTGCCCAGGTCCAGGATGGACTTCCGGAAGTGGCATCCACACAGAGACCCGGTTGTTCACATATCTGAATCCCACCACTGAGCAAAGATGCAGGAAAGGGACATGGAAGGAGAGAGGAAGAAAGAGAGAGAGAAAACCATGTCTGAAACAGCTGTGAATTTGGAGACCTGATTAACCCATAGGCCAAACATGGTTTGTCGGCTCTCAGGGAGTACTCTGGGACTTGCACAAGCAGCAGGGCCCCCTGGTGGCCAAGCTACAATGATGAAGAGAGGCAGGAGACCATCCACTGTTCTATATGGATGGGGTCTTGCATCCATCACCCATCTAGATCCAGCCAGGCCTGGGACAAGAAATGTAAGGTAAGGCTTAATGGGGGCCTTTGTTTCAAGAAGAGGAGAATCTTCAAAACAGCCTTTCCTCCTGGTCAGGTTATTACAATCAGCAAATTAAAAATGACTCCAGAGAAATTCTGGCCTCTAAGAGCATCCACGCAGATCAGTCATACAAATGGGGGACAAAGTCAAAGAAGCCAGTGGATATTCAATGGCATGGAACCACCTCAAGGAACGGACCGACAAACCAACATTACTTCCTTTGCCCCAATGTTGTTCAAAACTGAGATATTCCAGATGAATTTCCTATGAAAGCTATCACTATCAAAAAGCAAAATGGTAGTGATAGCTTTCATAGGAATACTTCTTGGAATAACAGATTTATTTGATGAAAATTATGTATTGGAATTGAAAAAAATGTTGATTTTTTAGATTGGGATGGTTTTAATAATTAATGGAGTGTTTTAACTTAGATGATTTTTTTTGTACAATAACATAGATGTGATAAGGTATGACAATTAATTGGATGAAATTTGAAGTTTCTGTAATGAATTGAAGTGAATTAACATTATTTTTAAATTAAGATAGCTATTGTGTAATGGAAGAAGAAATAAATGAGATTGGTGATAAAAGGAGGGATGAGAGAAATTAAGAACTAGAATATATCTGGAAGGGATACCTGAATTGGTAACTTGTTGAGTTAAAGTGAAATTTGATTTTGGTAATTGTAAACTGATAAAGTTTTAAAACAGGTTTAGTAGTAATAGAAATATAATTTAGAAATGGAATATTTTAAACGTATTATGTTATTTGAGAGAAATAGAAAGGAGACAGTGAATGTATTGAGTTGAGTTGTTTACTTATGTTTTCACTTTGGAATGTCTGATTACTCAAACACCACAGTGTGTCCTGAGTACTTTTTTAAAAAATTAAAAAAACCAATAAACTATTTTCAAAAAAAAAAGCAAAATGGTACTTATGCTTATCTCCAGGTGATGTCAATGGTCCATGGCAGGTTAGTACAATTTGGTGATCAAATTGTGGCAAATAGGCCTGAGAGAGGGAGGACAGCTTTCTTAGCTATCAAGCTTTGCCCAAAGAGACAACGCATATTATTAGATAAACGCTTTTTTTTTTGCATCTATTTTCTAGTTTCAGAGATGTGGACTGGTAGCTATTGTAATCTGTTCCTCAGGTTCCATGCCATTAAACCCAAACAGAACACCGAAGGCGTAGCCCAGGCCTGCCTCATTTTTTCTTTTCTTTTTTTTGAGCAAAAAACAGTTAAGTAAGATTTTCAGAATCTGGGAATGACATTTCCTTTCCTCATAAAGCATGGGATCAAACATTTCTCCAAAGTTGCTGAATCAGAACTGTCTATAAAAGCAACACAGTTCTGCTTGATCAGGATTTCTTCCCATAATAAAGAACAGCAGGTCCTGCAGTGCCCAATTGTAATGACTTCAAGGTGTGCCTAGAACAGTGGTGGCGAACCTATGGCATGGGTGCCAGAGGCGGCACTCAGAGCCCTCTCTGTGGGCATGCACGCTGTCGCCCCAGTCCTGGGCCTTCAGCTGGGTTTTATAAAACCTTTTCACTTTAGGCCTCCGCCACTGTGTGCAAAAAAAAAAAAAAAAAAAGGGTTCAATCAATCAGTCAATTTCAACTTCTCGCGGGGAAAAAAAAGATCTTGCAAAGTTGGAATTGATTGAACTTTTTAATCCCACCCAGTCTGCCGTTACCACCGCAGCCATGCCCAGCCAATGGGCCACACCCACCTGGCACCCGACGATGCATAAATGGTTTTGGGTTGCAGTTTGGACACTCGGTCTCTAAAAGGTTTGCCATCACTGGCCTAGAAAGTAACGCTTTGGGAATGAAACTGTCTTGGGCCCTTTTCTTCCTTTACAAAAAAAAGTGGGTGTCTTTTCTGTTTATCGCTTCAACATTTGTTCAGGAAATCACCTGGGATGTTCTTAAAGGTTGTGACTCGTCATGCCTCATGATATCAACCCTGTCAGGGACCTGAGTTTCTGGATGCTTTAAGGAGCTTCTGCAGACCTTCCAGAGCATGGGTGTCAAACTGCCGGCCCACAGGCCAGATGCATCATGCTGAAACCGCGCCCACCCCATTGCCAGCAATGGAAAAAAAAAAAGTCACGATACGTCGCGACACATCACGTGACGTTGCGAGTCTGACACCCCTGTTCCAGAGAGAGCTTGCCATTTGAGAGACTGAGCAAAGACAGACTCACCGTTTTCTGTTTTGGTTTCTGTTTGGGCACAACAAGTTGTTTTATTATTATTATTTTTTTTGTACTGTAATTTTTGGCAGGGAAGAGAGTGAGCCTGACAGGCCAAACTACAGCTAGTCCTTGATTTACAGCCACAACTGAGCCCAAAATTTTCTCTTGCTAAGCAAGACAGTTTTGCATCCCCCATTTTGCAACCTTTTTTTGCCACTATTAAATGGACCACTTAATACTTGCTAAGTTAGTCACAGGGTTATTAGGGGCATCTGGCTTCCCCATTTTTTTTTTGTCAGAAGGTCACAAAAGGGAATCACATGATCCTAGGACAGGGCTTTTCAACCTTTTCAGAGATTGTACCACTTTTAGGACATGATTATATTAAGGTGACCAACTTTTTTACAATGAAAAGGAGGACACAAATAAAATGAAGAAAAAAAATGTAAATAAAAAAAACTTTTTATTCATTGCAACAATAATACAGACAACTTGCATGTGCAAAGTTTGCCAGCTGGGTGTTTTGGTGCGCTCAGCAGCAATTCCTATTGGCTTTCGAAAGCCAATAGTGGGAGTAGCACAGCTCATGCAAAAGTTGAAAAAAAAAAACATCAAAAAAAGGTGCCGGAACGCCGTTCTGAGCATTCTATGAGGGGGAAAAAAAGCCCTGCAGATTAGTCTTCAAATATCGAAAAGGACATGAAGGAGGACACTTTTTGAGGGAGGACAGAACTTACAAAAGGAGGACTGTCCTCCCTAAAGGAGGACGGTTGGTCACTTTAATTATATTCGACTACCACCAGTGCTTAGCAAGGTGTCAAAAACTTGACTAAAAGAAAAGGGGGGGGGATTTGGGTTTTACTGTTAGATTCACTTGTTGTCATAGAAATGGCTAGTTTATAATATTATGCAAAAGTAAAAAGTTGAGGTTCAATGTTAATGCTTCCTTCTGGTGCAACAGAGAAAGTTGGAAGTCAATGAATGCCTTTTCTTTTTCCCTTCCCCCTCCCTCAGTTTTTTCCTTTTTTCTTTCACCCTTTGCTTGCAAAAGCCCCTCGTTCTCTCTCACACACTTCTCCCAGAAAGCATTCCCCCTCCATTTCTCCTCACTACTTCTCTGACAAAAGCCTTTTCTCTTCTGTCTCTTTCTCCGGAGTCTTGTTTTTCTTTCCCTCTCGGGCCAAAACTGCCTCCTTTTATAACCTCTCCTGTCTCCGCCCCACTCTTCGTTTCTCTTCCAGATGAGCAGGAAGTGCTGATCCTGGGGCCTTTGCCTTGCCCTAGCCCAGGGATAGGCAACCTTGGCTCTTTTATGACTCGTGGACTTCAACTCCCAGAATTCCTGAGCCAGCCATGCTGAGGGGAAAGAGAGAGTTTCCAAGCTGAGCCATGCTGGCTCAGGAATTCTGGGAGTTGAAGTCCACGAGTCATAAAAGAGCCAAGGTTGCCTACCCCTGCCCTAGCCACTCTGCAGCTCCGGAGGACTCTTTCACAGCAAGTGCCTGCATTGCGCTGCTTTAGCTCGTTCCCTCCCCCACTACTCTTGTCTAGGCAAGGCAGGGTTGCGTACCACTTGCCACATGCCAATGTACCACTGGTGGTACATGTACCACTGGTTGAAAAGCCCTGCTCTAGGACAGTGCAACTATCATAAATACATGCCAGTTGACAAGCATCCCGATTTTGATTGCATGACCATGGAGATGCTGAAGCGCTTGTAAGTGTAAAAATACGGTCATACAGTAAGTCATTTTTCCAGGGCCGTTGTAACTTCGAACAGCCACTAAATGAATGGTTGTTAGTTCAGGACTATCTGTACTGGAACCCCAGATCCATCTCTCAGAGCATCCTTCCAACTCCTTCCCTTCCACACAGCCAGTCAAGGCTTGTTATCTCAATGTGTGTTGAGCACCATTTTTAAGGCCATCGCCGTTAATCAGCAGATCATGTCTTGAAGTGTTTCTTGGGCTCAAAGGATCTGGTGGCTTGTCTGTTTAACTGCGTAGCCCAGAGCTCTAATGTTACAAGAGAGGGACCCCAAAAAAATTCCCTGCGGATACGTAAAATGTTATTCTGACTGCAGAATGAAAACAATATGAGCAAATGCAGCAATGGCATTTATTGGAAAATTTTCCATGTGACAACATGAACAAGTCAATGAAACCAACATAGCGTGAAACCTTTGTGTGTGTGTGTGTGCGTGTTTTAAGTCTTGCGCGCCTTAATAACTCAGACCCCTGGCACACAATTCTCGGAGACCAATTCTGCGCGCATAAGACGGCCCCAAATGAAATTGCAAGGAAACAACACATTTTCCCTCCAACTGATAAAGTGTAATGTTTCTGTAACTTTGCCAGGTTTGGTGTGATCCTGTTGATTTGATAAGCAGCAGCAAGAAAATGCCAGACGCACAATCTTTGGGAAATCTCCCATGCAAAGATGAAATTAGGGCAGTGTCTTGCCATGCATTTGCTTTTCCTTTGGGACTCTGCCCAGGAAAAGCTAAGAAATTATATGAACAAGAAACGAAAAAAGGGATGTGGGTTGGACTTATACTGGAGCAGTGGAAGGAGAACGTCAACTGTATTTTCCTTGGTTGTTTGCATAACTCAATACATGACACAATGGAAGCACTTTCATCCACACCTGTGCCTTGTACAAGTAAGACACTTGGCTGAATTTGGCACAATTTTAGAGAAAGCAGCTAGAGAAATACAACAAGTCATTCCCCAATGCGGGGATAACATGTTCCAAAACATATTTCTTGTGTTGCTAGTTTCATAATTTTGATAGATCAAATGTTGACTTCAGTGTCTGGTCTGCATGGCAGAAATAGCTTCCAAAAACAAACATACTTAAGAAATAGGCAGAGCAGAACATGATGATAATAATGATAAAAACAATCAACATGACCCCAGAAACTGCTGGATTTTCAAGAAGCCGAAACTCTGCTACTTAATGCTTCTTAAAAAGAAGAGGAGGGAACAGACATGTTCTGAAATGTACAAACTACCATGTAGGGAGGCACTACTCCCCTTAGTATTAATTCGGTGACAATCTGTATGTTCTTCTGTTGCAGGTGCAACGATGAAGGTTTATGGGATCTTCCCTGTGGAAGGAATACTAACATTTGAGGCGGGGGGGGGGGAAAGCTGGACAATTGAGGAAGCAGGGAGATCTTACAGGGCTTCCTTGGCCAAATGGAATCAAGCTACAGAATCCGGCATTTGGCTGAAGGCTACTCCACCCATCATGTTTAAATGGTGGCCATTCCCCTTCTCAGGACTTGTAGTGCTTCACGGCATCGCTGAGCCATTGCTGAAGGGAAACGGGCTGTCCGAATGGTGACCTAAATCTCAGAGCATGAAGAAGATGCTACAAGATACTAAGATAAGGACAGCATTCAACAGTGAGGATCCCCTTAACCAAACTAAATCCTTCAAGTCAGGAATCCCAAGGACTCAATCCCAAGAGTTTGTGACTTTCCACAGGAGAAGAGTTGGCTTGGAAAGTCCTACCTGCTTTATGACACACTGCCACCCACCCACTCACTGCTTTCACTGTCTCACAAGGAAGGGGGAGTGAAGGGGTCACCGATATGCCTTCCTTGCTTGCTTTTCTGGATAGGGAATTGGTGACTTTTGGGCAGACATGACAGCATCAACCATCACCAGGTCCCCCTGAAGGGAGAGGAGGAGAGTGAGTTGTGTGTCCGCAGGAACACAACTGTTCCCGCGAAAAGGAAGGACGAGCAATCTTCCCTGAGGAACTTTAGAAACGGACCCCCACCCCCCACCCCACAGACAGGAAGCACACATGCACAGCACCCCCACCCAGCACCTCAGCTGGGACCTGTGCTGCTTTTTGGAGGTGGACATACATTCTTGCTTTTTATTTTATTTTTTCAAGTGTTGATCAGCGTATAGAAAAGACCCCCACGCCTTCCTTACTGAGAGAAAGTGGAGTCTTCAACATTTAAGTTACAAGCAGTCTCAAATTTCACCGGTTTCCCCCATTTAGATCAGTCCTAAATATACACCTGATCTTCTTCATTAGAACCCATCTTTCGTTCTTTGCACTGCAAATTATGTACACGCGTTATTAAAAAAAAAAAAGACATGAACTTGGGATTTGCATATTGGGGTTGAAAAAGGCCTTTTAAGCTACTGTGGCTACTGCTTGCAGAATCCTGTGAAATGAAGCCGATCCCCTTTCCATCAGCAACCCATTTCTTTCCTTCCATCTATGAGCAGAAACCATCTTCTCTCTCTCTCTCTCCTCCCCCCCCCACACCTCGTTTATGGCTTTCTTCTAGAATTTGTTTGGATGACAGTTGACTTTTTTCAGCAGCTCTTCACAGTCAGACAGGGCTTCCTGGGGCAGGTAGCTGCAGATCTTCTCCAGGGTCTTCTGATACAGAGCCTTTTCCTCCTCCAGGGACTGGATTAAAGTCATCATCTGGCTCTCCCTTCTCAAGGCCGCTTCCAAGTTGGACTCCACACCTTGGATCTTAGCATGGGCAACCTAGCAAGGAGCAGAAAGAGGAAATAGAGATGGGCAAGGGAGATTTCTTCTGGATCCTTCAGTTCTGCCAAATCTCATGATCCCTTGAGTGGCTAGACATCCTTTATTATTATTGGTTTGAAAGAGGGGTCAATGAGGCTATCTGTGTCAAAACTGAACATTCTTTTCTCAACAGAGGGGGAGGGATACGACATCATCTATCTCCAGTCTGTCAGGTCGTCCTGTCTCAATGCTCCACAGAAAAGCCGACAGACGGGAACGATAGACAACGAAGTTTTTTAATGACTCCGTATAGAACAAAGTCAGCACTGGGAGTGGCTTGCTCCCAATGCTTTACATAGCCCTCAGGCCTGTCACACCCATGCAACATCCTACCGCACCCCTCAAACCACCATCCGGCCCTGTAAGCCCTTAACCCCTCCTCTGCCAGTCAGTTGAGTAAAGCTGCTTTTCCCCTAAATGCTTCCGTGGCTCTGCGCTGTAAGTTTATGGCCCCTCCTCGCTTGTTGGTTGTCGGCCCGGCGAGGCACACAGCGATGATGTCATTGGATGCGACGGCCGTTCACAGCCAACGCAGCACACATACCGAAGCCAGTGACGCTCCACGGTCTCGTTAACAGCGCTGAGGCCGGTAGGTATCGTAGGAGCCTGTCAGCTGTTTGGTGTGTTAAGTAGCATCCCTGAGTCCCCTCACGGGTCGGCCTTGCAGGGCCCGACACAGTCTACAACACAATCAACAGTTCCAAGAAGGCTCTACACCCATTTGCACTACTCAAGTGACCCTGACGACACAGATAAACCTCCAGGTGGCCTCAACAGCTCTCTAAACCATTTATCTGCAAGGAGTATAAATCCTTCCATTCCTCACATCCAGGGAGAGCTGAAGAAGCTTCTGAGATGAGAAGCAAAATGTCTTCAAAAGAAAAAACAAGGAAATCCAGTTGCCTTGTGAAAAAGCATCTTTGGGACAAACATGACTTGGATGACCGAGAATCTCCACAGACCTTTATTATAAAGGGTAGCCCTTCATTTCAAAAAACTGTCCTTTAAATTTATTTATTTAATAAACACATCGTATTTTCTTTATCCCACTTCCCACTGTCAGCAATCTAGCCCAAGAACATGTTGGCTACTCAGTGGTTCCCTCTCTCCATCATTTCTTTTTAAAATCCATCTAAAGATATTTTTATACTTCTGACAATGTCAGAACTCTTTTAACTTTGCCCTTTTGTACATGAGTGGTTTCACTTTAGCTTGATAAGGACGGGGAATTCAGAATACCTAGTGACTTATTAATATAAATGAAGGGTTGCTTTGTTGTGATTTAAAAAAAAAAGATAATTGAACCACTTTATGAATTTAAAAAAAATGAGCAGTTTTAAATAACCTAAATTGCCCAAAAGATTAAGCATAGGTTGCGTAAACCTCTTATCCTGATCTTCAAATTCGTGAGAAATAAAACATTAGCTTGGTGAAATTGACACATCACATCCGTATCAGATAAATGGATGCTCCTATTTCTGGTTTAGAACAAGAACCACAAGAACTTAACATCTGATTTGCTCCAATCAGCTGCCACCATTTACACCAGAAGTTACTAATCTGTGAGGGCTGCCCAGAATATGTACCCCCGTGGAAGATCATACATTAATTCACCCACCCACCAGTCCTTTCCACTCACACAGTTGTGAGTGGGACTTCCGGCAACAGCCCTACCGCTTAGATCTGTAGATTCTGCTTATTGCCCAAAGGCCACGATAGCTGGCCTCTTTCATGACCACCATTTTCTGGATGATGTTCAGCTTCTCCTTTGTTTGAGGAACAAGCCGACATTTAAAAACAGCCGTGTCTTTCTCAGATGTGAAGATAAAATAGAGAGGAACTAGGGAAGAAGATGCTTTTTGAAGTCACTGATTTTTTTTCCCCTCCTCTAGACTTAAAACATTAAAGTCTAAGAACATCTAGGGAAGTAAACAAAGGACAAAATGTAGATTGACTTAAAACCACAATCGACTCTAATATTTTCAGTGCTAAACGAGACAGTTGTGAAGTGGATTTTGCCCCATTTTATGACCTCTCTTGCCACAGTTAAATGAATCAATTAACATTTGTAAGTGTTAGTAATATAATTGTTAAGTGAATCTAGCTTCCCTGTTGACTTTGCCTGTCACAAAAGGGGATCACATGACCCCGGGATACTTCAACCATCCGAAATACATGTCAATTGCAAAATGTCCAAATTTTGATCGTGTGACCATGGGGATGCTGCAATGGCCATAAGTATGAAAAATGGTCATACATCGCTTTTTTCAGTGCTGTTGTAATGTTGAAAAGTCACTAAGCAAATGGTTATAAGTCAAGGATTACCTGCAGAGTAATGTGTGTATCGGGGGAGGAAAAGTACTACTGGTTTTTTTTTTTTTTTCTTTTAGGGCTTCTTCTTTGCCTAATTTTATATTGTCAGCTGCTCCCAAATTGAGATTGAGACTCATTCTACGGTTGATTTTTACCTGCAGTTTCTCCAAGAGATCCATATTCTGTCTCTTCAGCTGACTGTTGGCTCTTTCCAGTTTCTCTGAAGCTTCAATCTCCTCACAAGGGCTCAGGTTGTCTTGCAATTCATCCTGCAGAACATGGTACTCCACCTCATAGGCGTGAAGCTGCTTGGAAATGTCCATTTCAAACACCTAGCATGGGTAGCAAAAGAGAGAGGGGGGGGAAGATTCCTTATAATCCACTGGCTAATTGAGAGAAGACAAATAACTGAACTCTTTGGACCTCAGAGTGTGAAAGAAGACTACCAATGTGGGGCAGTGGAAGCTTCTTTCACACCCGTTTTGGGAATGACTCAATTTAAACTTTCCATCTGTATGGACCAGCTCCAGATTCATTCAAGATGGTGAGAACAACTTAAAAGTGCAAACCATTGACTCTTGGGTATATTTGCTTTTATGGCCACACTACCCAAAGGACTTCACTGGACAAATGATAAAAAGGGAGCCATCTTGCTCTGGGCCAAGCTCTACTTAGCAATTTTTTTTAAAAAAAGAGCTCCATATTTCAAAGAGAAACTACTTAATTCCTAAAACACCACGAAATTCCCAAACTTGGTGGATCAAGTTATTGCAGCAACTTATCAAGACAGGACATTCTGTGAGGTTTTCAAACTGAGCTCAAAGGCTCCATCCTTAATAGACATAGCAAAAACACTACAGACTTAACTAAAAGGGAAAAAGAAAAGTAAGAAATAATTGACATCTGTTAAGAACTTAATTAAAAGGTTATTATTTTTTTTTTAAAAAAAAAAAACCAGAACAATGAGTCGTAGGATACCCCAAAAACTTGGCATATCAGTCAAGGGATGTTTTTAACAGGCTCTTTGCTTTTAGGAAAGGAGAACGAGAGGGTGGCAAGAATAAATCTACCGTCATGGTTCCGATAGGATAGATGAAACCCTTTAAAAGAACGTCAAGGCAAGGATTTCTTCCTTAAAGAACATTTTATTTAGGAAACAAAATATCGGCATGTACAAAGGTGAACCCAAAACTAAAAATCCCTTCCCGTGGTTACAAAGTTACAGATGCTTTTCCCTTAATATGCTGTCATAAATCACATTCATCAATTATCACAAAAAACGTGGGCTCTCCTCCCAGCTTTCCAGCCTGCTAAAACTCTTATCAGCAGTGACCTTGGTTCTCACACCGATGCATTCGTTTTGGCTAACTGACTGAGAAACTTCACACCCCTCCTCCCAGTCCTTCATCTAAAAATCTCTAAACTAAAAGGGGGGCAACGAAAGCAGAATGAAAAATGGCTTCATGTTCAGTTTGTCACTGGCATTGACATCTACATTACCTGGGCCATTATCTTCTCCATCTGGGGCTCTGTCATGTCTGGCAGAGTGTTTTTAAGAAACTCCACGATGCTTTCAAATGTCTCACACGACATGATGCGTTCCTCCTGGGTGCTGAGCAGGCATAGCGCTACTTTAAATATGACTTCTGTACCTTGGAGAAAAATAATATCTGGGGCGAGAAAGAGCAACAATGATAGGTTAGTAGGTAGTCGTCGATTTTGGACTACAGCGGAGCCCAACGTTTACGTGGCCAAGCGAGACACTTCGTTAAGAGAACTTTGCTCCATTATACAGCTTTTCCTGCCCCAGTTACTAAGTCAATCACTGCATTCCTTAAGTTAGTAACATGGCTGTTAAGTGAATCCGGCTTCCCCATTGACTTTGCTTGTCAGGAGGTTGTAAATGGCCATCACACAACCTATGGACATTGCAACCGTCATAAACACGAGCCAGTTGCCAAGCGTCTGAATTTTGATCACATGATCTTGCAGATGCTGCAATGTGAAAAACAGACCTAGGTCACTTTTTTCTGTGCTGCCGCAACTTTGAATAGTCACTAAATGAACTGTTGTAAGTTGAGGACTGTCTGTACACTGATTATCCCATAAAAGCACATCATTCATACAATTAGGTTAACAACAACCTACACACAACTCAAAGGTTGAAACTGACCTTTTGTCATTCTACAGTCTCTTACATTTGATGGGAAGAAATTCTACTAAAATACAAGGAAACTTGTTGCTGGGTTAATAATCCAATTTCAGACTGCCCCATTAAAAAAAATATTTATTTTATTTTGGAGTGCCTTTTTGTATTTTTAGAAGTTTCAGTTGCGAAAAGAGGCAACCCAACAAACTATGAACACAAAGAAGCAAGTCCAGCTATTTGCAAGGAACCTGTCATGGTTCTGATAGATGGGGACCAATTAAAAGAACTTCAAGGCAAGGATTTCTTCCTCAAAGAACATTTTTATTTGGCTACAAAATAACGGCACAAACAAAGGTGAACCCAAGACTAAATTTATCTCCCCTTGGTTGCAAAGTTGCAAGTTGCAATTCCCACCCCAATTTGTTGTCATAAACCACATTCACCAGCTCTCCAGCCTGGCCAAAATGTTATCAGCAATGACCTTGGTTCCCATACATTTGAATCCTTTTGGCTAACCAAAAACTACACCTCCGTCTTCTTCTTCTTCTAAACTAAATATGTAGCAACGAAAGCAAAATGAAAATGGCTTCAGTTTGGTTTGTCACAGCTTTGACAGAACCATTTTGGCTGCACATTCCTGTGAACAGGGTTAATCGTAAGCAAAGCAAAAGGAAGGAAAAACAAAAACCCAGACACCAAATTTGAAGGCATGGAAAAAGGGGTCTCCAATGGGACACGCAGTTTCACTGGTCAACAGAAATTAGAAATTAGAATTTCTATCCAGGCAAGAGAGGGCAGCTCCCATTCATCCCAGGAACGAAATGAATCTTAATACAACATCGCAGAGTATTTTTTTTAAAAAAAAAAACAACAACCCACAGAGAACCATTAATTTATGACCTCTGCCAATGCTATTGAGCAGACAAATTGCAACCCCAAAAGAAGTTTGTTTAAAAAAAAAAAAAAAGAGGCACAAATCCTGTTCTGTTCTAGCTATTCCTGTTGAGATTCACAATGAATGTGCCTTTAGGATTGTGAGACGAAACAGATCCTTACCAAAGATTCTGGCTACAAATCCCAGAGGAAATTGTGAGGCAAATAAAGTGAGAAACCAGGGTGCGGCATACAGGCTTGGGCTGATTTCGTTTTCTTCAAGATGGTGGTAAAGGTCCCGGTGATAGTCATGAAGAAGCCTTGACAGCTGGTACATCTGGATCTACATAAAGATATGGCAAAAAGGGGAGGTTAGGAGGTCCATACCTGCCTAAGAGCTCCATGGCAACCTTGTTCCTTCACAATCGTTTAACTGTGTCTCTGGACATCACTCATGCCTGGTTTGAGCCACTCAGAATGAAGGTCTTGGGCCTCACCTCTAGTCAAGTGAAACCAAGAAGTTATCTGTTCACTTAAAGTGAATAGTTTTCTATTAGGATAAAGAATTTGGGGGGGGGGAATTGGAACTCTGATATTATATATGCTGACAGCAGTAAGAATACTTTAGGTCACTGTTTCTCAACCTTGGCAACTTTACGATGTGTGGACTTCAACTCCCAGAATTCTCCAGCTAGCGTAAAGTTGCCAAGGTTGAGAAACACTGCTTTAGGTAATTGACCAAGGTGGGATGACTGACAGCAGTCCTCCTTCTGCAGTGGAAATTATAGAGGTTCTGCAGGGAATCAGCTGAAGGAGGATATCCTTTTTCCTTTCTTGTTTTCCTTTTTTGCCTTACCTCCAGCGACATCATGTCGGGCCTGTATTGTTTCCGGAACCCGAGATCATACATGAGGAATTTCAGCATTTCGAAGGCTTGCTCTTCACTCATATGGAGCAGCAGCACGCCGGCCACAAAGCTGATGCCCTGGCAATAGCCCACCTCCTTGTCCAGCAAAGAGTAGGCTTTCAGCAGGTTGAAGAGCGAGAGCTGCCCTGCGCCCAGTTGAGCCGAAAAGTAGGGATGGGTGGGGAAAGTCCTTCCTGGGACAAAACAAGAAGAGCTGGTGAGGTCAGAAGTCAAATCGGGGCCGGGGAAATCTCCCTTGAAGAGAGAGCTCCAGGGAAGAACCATAAAAGCGGTTCCAACTGAAAACAAACATTAGCCTGAGGTTCTTTGCATGATGATCAGTACCACCAACCACGTCACAATTATGCAGATGCTCTGCAACACACACACACACACACACAGACAGATCAGCACCACCAACCACGTCACAATTATGCAGATGCTCTGCAACACACACACACACATCCAGCCCACAGGATCCGCCAGCTGAGTCGCGCCCTCACCCAGGTCCACCAGGATGGCATGTTGCTGCGCTGTCAGCTGCTTCAGGAGGTCTTGGTAGGAGATGTCTGGAGGCTGTTGCTTATTCGGCAGCCGGTGTCTGACGCGGTGCTGCACGGCCAGAAACTGCCAAATTTCTCCCCGGCGGCTTTTGGGGACACCTGAACAAAAGAGTGAAGAATGGAGAGGTAGTGAGAGATGCATTCTTTCTTTATTTTTTTCTCCCCCTGCAATCACACATGTATACACAGGGACAGCCTTGAGTGTGTGCAATAGCTGAAAATATCTGGCATGGTAAGGCTATTTCTGAACCTAGGAAAAAATAAGCTTTGCCTTTGATTGGCCTTGAAAGATAAGAAGGGCTGAAATTTTATTAGGATGGTGGGTAGAAGGCAAGAGGGAATCTGCTGGGTTATAGAAAATTGCCCCACTGGAGAAATGCAAGAAAAGTATATCAGAAGAAGGGACAAGGTCCCTTCCTCCTGTTGGCAAACACACCCCCACAAATACACAAACCCAACCTGGGTGTGCTCCTGAAGCACCAAGAACTGACTTCCACTCAAGGACATCTTTCCCTTTTTCTTCCCTCAATAGCTAAATCAGTGTTTCTCAACCTTGACAATTTTAAGGCATGTGGATTTCAACTCCCAGAGTTCTACAGCCAGCAATGCTGGCTGTGGAATTCTGGGAGTTGAAGTCCACATGCCTTAAAATTGTCAAGGTTGAGAAACACTGAGCTAAATCAAAACTCAATGCTGTAATCAAACACTAATCAACTAAGAACACCAGGCAGTGGATGCAAAGGAGCCCCATTGAGATGTTGAGACACAGCGACATTTCTGTGTTATATCCCTCCCCTACATGTGTGCCATTTCCCCTGAAGATACCAACCCTTGGTTGCGACCCATGGTTTTTTTTCCCCAGGCCCTAAGTCGGTCAGTCCGAGAGGAGGTCAACCCTGACTGCTCCTTAGAAGGCCAGATCCTGAAATTGAAACTCAAGTACTTTGGCCACCTAATGAGAAGGAAGGACTCATTGGAGAAGAGCCTAATGCTGGGAAAGATTGAGGGCAATGGAAGAAGGAGACGACAGAGAATGAGGCGGCTGGATGGAGTCACTGAAGCAGTAGGCGTGAGCTTAAATGGACTCCAGAAGATGGTAGAGGATAGGAAGGCCTGGAGGAACGTTGTCCATGGGGTTGCGATTAATACTGGGAAACATTGAGGGCAATAGATGAAGGGGACGACAGAGAATGAGGTGGCTGGATGGAGTCACTGAAGCAGTAGGCGTGAGTTTAAATGGACTCCAGAAGATGGTAGAGGACAGGAAGGCCTGGAGGAACATTGTCCATGGGGTCGCGATGGGTCGGACACGACTTCGCAACTAACAACAACAACAAAGTCCTTTGGATTCAGAACTTACCATCTTTCAGGGTAGTATGAATGTCTTCCACATCACATCTGATCTTGGCTCTGCAGTTCAACAGTTTCTTGTCCCAGATATTAATAACATCCTTCTGACAGGTTCCTACTTCCTCATAGTCCAGTTTAACTTTCCTGGATTGCAGCTCATCTCTGCTCGCTGCAAGAGAGAAGACCCGTGAGGCATCTTCAGATAAGCACCATGTTTAGATGTGCATATACATGTTCGGATGTGTGTATGTCCCAGAGACACCAACCACAACAGAGATCCCGTTCAATGAATCAGTCAAAAGGTAAGTACAGAATTCTGCTTTTTGTACTAGGCAGTACACCTTAAAAGACTTCCCACAATCCAGTTCTTCAACTAACATTTCCCCAAGATATTAAACAGCAGAAGATGGCCTTCCTAGACTGGATCAGCTATTCCTTCCACTCAAAAATCAGCCTAACATTCAGAGCTTACTAGGTTTGCCATCCAATGTGGGCTTTGGCTTAATCCAGGGGTCTTCAAACTTGGCAACTTTAAGACATGTGGACTTCAACTCCCAGAATTCCTCAGTCAGTCAGGGCTGGCTGAGGGATTCTGGGAGCTGAAGTCCACAAATCTTAAAGTTGCCAAGTTTGAAGATCCCTGGTTTAATCTCTGTCCACCGGTATACAAATTGTGCCACCCACATGGGACACATACAACATACAACATTTTCAGAACAAAAAGACTGCTTTCTCCACAATTCAGAATCTCGGTCACAACCGTCACTTGCAATTGAGTCAATCAGTGTGAATTGAATATTGTCAACAATTTAGGAAGCATGCAGCTCCTCACATACCTGATTTCACTACGTTGCATTTATTTCAGGCTTTACACTGATAGTTAATCACGGAACCAAATTTATAAAGTTTTAGACAGGGGTCTTCAAACTTGGCCCTTTTATGACTTGTGGACTTCAACTCCCAGAATTCCTCAGCCAGCTTTCCTGGCTGAGGAACTCTGGGAGTTGAAGTCCACAAGTCATAAAAGGGCCAAGTTTGAAGACCCCTGGTCTAAGATATAACAGCAGCCATTCAGCAACTGCACAACAGAGAACGATCTTTGAACTTCCCTCAACCAGGGTTATGCCTGCATTTAACAATGCAACGACCCTTTCTGAAGCAAGCAGATTAGTTTATCCAGAACTAAATCTTCATTCAGGGGAGGGGTTATCTTTATTGCGCTCTTTTGCATTTCTACCCACAACTTTTGCACTCCCCTTTCTCTCAGGTTTAATTCTTCAATGGACCTTCGTGGTCACGTGCTTCGTATTTGTGTACCAAAAATTTAACTGATGTGCAACCAGCAACTTGGAAGTTGAGCAGAGTTACTACACAAGCCAAAAATGGCAGAGTGGGCCTTTGGGGAGGGCTGGCTGGGGGAAGAAATGGATTGTGCTTCATCCTTCATAAAAAAGTTCATTTTTTATGGCTACATCTAACTGAGAAGTCCAGTAGCAGAACTGAAGGTGAGCACCTGGGACAGGTGAAATTGGTCAGGTGGTGGTGCTGCTGCACAAAGTCCCAGCCTGCCATAAACAACTGCCAGGTGGCACTCAGTACTGAGAAAAAAGTTATCTGATTTTGTAGGAAACAAACGTTTTAGTTCCTTTAAAATATCTTCTGAATACCGAATGCCTCAATTTAACACGCCTCTAAGAATGCTAATGAGTAGGAAATGGTGGATATCCTGCCCAACCAAAGGAATTCGAAAGCCCGGGTCAATTTCAATGTCAGGAAATGTTTTAAGCTTTGGTCAACAAAAGGTTGGGAACCTAAATTTCCTTTTCAAAGGCATCTTCTGGACCAGTGTGTTTCTTCTTGGATTGGCTAAACATGGCGTGCAAGATTTCTTGTGTTAAATGCAACTCCTGAAAGACAGTGTGTCTCGACGGAGCTAGTTTAATGTCAAGATTCCGACTGACGAACCCAACCAAGTAAATGCCTTTGCCTTCGAGGCATTCCGATCTCTTAATGTGAAACTTTATTGAGTACATCACTCCCCGCACTAATGAAAACAAAACCAGCTCTGGCAAGAACCCCTCCCAAGTCCATAGAGTAAAAGTACTGAATTTTCCCTCCTCCCTCTGGGTCAGGTCATGTTGCCCAATCAAGTAGAAAAATATTGTGATGAGAAAGTACTTCTAGGTCTAGCCAGACATCTGGGGTAATGAGTCTTCTTAATCTTTGAAGTCTGAATTCCAAACCTCTCCCCTTCTACCCCCCACCCAGCACCCCCAAGGTTGTAGGCAAGCTGAGAAGCAATAATTGTCACACCACCAAAAACTTGACACAGTGTTCCCTTGCCTGGGGTCAAGGCAGGAGAAGGCTGCAGAAGGAACAGCAGAAGGATGGATCTTTAAGGAGGTCTCTCCCATTCCTTGGGACAGGTTGGCAAGTCCAGAATGGGAGAAGGCTTCCTTAAGCAGGATCTAAACCAGATTAACCTAATTCATTAAGTGGTGCCCAAGAAGCAACCGGGAACCATGGCAGGTCCCTCAGGAAAGCATCTCATGTGGACCCTGTTCCTAACTATGGTCAGACAGACCAGGCAGCTTTGGGGCCCAAATCAGTAAACTTTTGAGGAGACCCATTAGAGCTCTTGGCCGGCTTTCTGCACCGATGCTTCAGATGTTGACACAAGTCCGATAGAGATCTTTAAAAATAAACGATCAACCCCCAAACACCTAAATGTGCAGGTGTCACGTGTGTCTGTGTGCAAACCCACACACAGGCCACAATGGGACAACTCTCACTGCCCCCAATTCTCTGCGGCCAATTCACCACGGCCAACTCTCCACAAGATAACTTGTCGTGGGGACCATTCAACAAGTCAATTTAATTATTTAAAATAATGTAAAAATATATATATATGTTAATGTTGGTGAATTCACATTTCACTCTGTCGCTCCTTTTGCATCCTTCCTTTCACGATTCCACGCCACCCAATCTTTGATATTAGTGTAACTCCTGTCCCGCGACGAGCTGTCCCGTGGCGAATCGGCCGTGGTGAGAGGGCTGGGGAGAATGGTCAGGGACCCCCCCCCCCGCACAGGCAGAGATGGGGAAGCGGTGAAGCCGCAAATCTTACCTTCTGTAAAACAAAAGCTTCCTTCAAACTCCTCGACAGCGTTAGGAAGAACAGGAAGTGTTAAAGTTGGTTAATCGATTTCATTAAGATGGATAAGGTCACAGAAGAAAAGCAGAGATTGGGGGAGGGATCGGAAGAAAAACAATTTCCAGCTGCTGAAACTTTGTTGTTCCCCCCCCCGTCCCCCCCTGCAGCCCTTGGGTTTCTCCTGCACAGTGGTTGGCAAGGAAACAGCCCTGCCGGCCATCAACAAGAAGCCGAAATACCCAGGAGCCAAAATCTCACTCAGGCAAAATTCTCTCTTGGTTATTTTCTCATTTTTCCCCCTTTCACATTCATCACAGGGGGAAGAAAATAAACGGCTTCATGGCTTTTTAGTTCATAATGCCCACCGATTAGAACACTCTTCATTCTCCGAATATATTCTCTGCTTTATTTCCCACGGACCTCCCTCGACATCAGTTAAATGGTAGATCACCCAAATGATCTTATGCATCACCCAGGCGTTCAAGCGAGATATTAAAGGAGAAATAAAAGGAAATTCCAACCTCTGCAACCGAGGGGGAAGACAGGGATGCTACAATCAATTTTTGGCCAGCAGGCAGGGGAGGCGGGAGCTACACTTAGGCTAGTGCAAGTCCCAAAGTGGGACTTGACATTATCCCATGGTCAAGCTGAAGCACAACTTCTCCGGGGCTTGTTCCAGAGTAACCAATTTGGACCTTGCCTTCTGGGGACATCAGAGTCTGGGGAAAGGCCATACTCCCGTCTGGTCCCTGGAAGGTCTGGAGAGAGTTCAGAGCCCTGCAGCCATTCTGTTCCCATCTCTCCTTCTTCATCTTCAGGTATGAAACTATCAGCAATGGTGACCATCAGTTTCCTCCTTCCTCTTGATGGTCAAGTCTAAATCATAATAAACAGATGGACCAGCTCTAAATCAGAGTTTCCCTGCTGGGGTGGGAATGGAGCCAGGGTGGGCCTGGGGAATTTCTGGAGACCATGTCCATAGGAAGGTCAACCTCTGTAGGCCAATATAAGCAAAGGGGAGTAAGAAAGCTGGGCAGATTTACTGTCCGTCATCGCTCAAATTCTTTAGACAGAGAAAGTTAAGGCTTGTCCTCAAATCACATGGCTGCTGGATCTGGGATGTCTCTCCCTGAAGGAACGAAGAACATCTAAAGCTTCCTCTGATGCCTTCTCCTGCTTGGCACTGATGGTAAAGACCAGCAAAAGCAGCCACCAGGGCCTCTTAAGGCCAAGTGACATGTCCACCACTACACTAAACATCTGATCCCCCAATCCATATTCAGAAATCATTGCGGGAGGAAAAAGCAAGCAAATGGGAAAGAAAGGAAGGAAGGAAGGAAGGAAGGAAGGAAGGAAGGAAGGAAGGAAGGAAGGAAGGAAGGAAGGAAGGAAGGAAGGAAGGAAGGAAGGAAACCACCATTAGCACATGGTATGACTCCAGGAGAGACGTTGCTCTTAGAATGTTCCTCAGTTGCCTTCCATGCCCTGCAGCCTACATCAAGCAACTGCAGACTGAATTACTACTGCAGTAATGCATGAGAAGTGGTCCAAATAATCTCGTTTACAGCTGGTTTGCTAAGGGAGGGCATTGTCTGCGAAGAAGGGTCATTTCTGCTCTAGTTCCAAGAAAACCTATTCCTGGATAAAGTAATTGATTTAAAGATTTCTGCGTGAAGGTTTCCAAAAATGTTTTCTCTAGTGTGCCATTTAAAAGGAAAGTGGATGCCCCTCCATCTCTTTCAACACCACCTGTCCCTGGTAGTCCACAGCCTGCACCAACCTTCCAGTTTTTGGTTTTCCTTCTCCATCCGGAGGAGAAGGATCTGCTGGTGGATCGCTTTTCTCCACAGGCTCTGCAGCTCCACTGACTTCTTCTTCTCTCCGGTCTGATCTTGGACATCCTCATTTTGCAAGATGGAAACCAGGGGAACTTCGTCAAAAGACGGTGGATGCGGGGATAACGGCAGCAGTTCTTTTTCATCACAGCCATCTGGAAAGAACCATCTGGTTAACCGTGAATTCAATCAATGCTATCCAGTATCTGTATTTGAGGTCTGATTTTAAGAAACCCAGCCCACCCCTAATTGTGTATTTTTGATATTGCCCCAATCCACCCCATTATTTCTATGTTACACTTCCCCCATCCCACCCCTCAACCTACGAATCGTTGGTTGTGAACTCCGCAGAGACCTGAACAGACAGCTTTTGGAATTTGGTTTGTTTCTGCAAAGTCCCTAATGCAGTGCAACTTCAGGCTCAACCTTATACGCCAGGAGTGGGGAACGATGGCCCTTTTATGACTTTGTGGACTTCAACTCCCAGAATTCCTGAGCCAGCCATGTTGGCTTAGGAATTCTGGGAGTTGAAGTCCACAAGTCATAAAAGGGCCATTGTTCCCTACCTCTGCTATACCCCAAGCCAGAAACTGATGTGCTTGAAAGACAAACCAGCAAAACCCTTGACCCTTTTCTGGTTTTCTAGTTTTGTACCTCATCTGACTAATTTTAATATTTATCATTTTATTGTAAGCTACCCAGAATCATGCTGAGGTGGACGATAGATGGATGGATGGATGGATGGATGGATGGATGGATGGATGGATGGTGTGTAGGTAGGTAGGTAGGTAGGTAGGTAGATAGATAGATAATTAGATAGATAGATAGATAGATAGATAGATAGATAGATAGATAGATAGATAGATAGATAGATAGATAGGTGGGTCAGTGGGTGGGCGGGCGGGTGGACAGACGGACGGACGGACAGACAGACAGATAAAACTATATCCTGTTCAGAAAATAGAAACAAGGCAGAATACTTATTATTTTTGGATTTCAGATTCTACTATTTTAGATTTATTCTGCTGTTTTGACCCCTTTTCCTTGCCATGCAGCAAGAATGAGTCATTCTCTCACACTTGGTACCCCTAATGCAGTGTTTCTCAACCTTGATAATTTTAAGGCATGTGGACTTCAACTCCCAGAATTCCACAGCCAGCAATGCTGGCTGTGGAATTCTGAGAATTGAAGTCCACATGCCTTAAAATTGTCAAGGTTGAGAAACACTTCCCTAATGCATGGGTGTCAAACTCAATCGCGTCACGTGACGTATCGTGACATATCATGACGTTTTTTTGCCTTTGTAGAGCCGGGATGGGCGTGGCCTGTGCGTGATGCCTCCGGCTGGCGGGCCGCCAGTTTGACACCCCTGCCCTAATGGGTACAGACACAGGCAACACCATTTAACATCAAGCAACACTCATTACATGCTGGATGGTAAAGGGATGTTCTTGAACCAACACATCCCATCAACAATACAAAAGGGCTTTTATAACTCTCTGCCTAAAGGGCTCTGTAGCACGATCCTTTATTTATAAATCAATCCATCAGGCTTTGAAGTAGTTGGAAATAAAAGGAGAGCGCACAAGCCTCTCTCTTCTAGCAAGGGCGCTTCAGAGGTATGAGCTCATGGGAGACAAAGAACCAAATTAGGGGTCCCTTCCAGTATAGACTCCAAAGCAGCTGTTGGCAGAAGCTCTGGGGTCACCGTGGTTCTGAGCACAGGCAGCAGAAAAACAGAAAGTAGCCATTTTTTTTTTATTATCCCAGAAAAGGGACAGACATAAGATCGCTCAGGCTTTATATTTTATCAAGAAATATAGAAGAAGCATTAATCCTTTTTCCTGAGGATCAATCCAGAGGTGAATCTAACTTTAGATGGTTCTCCCAAGTTTCCTGCAAAACGAAAGCCAAATCAGCTCCAGGTGCATTGAAGCAGGAATTGTAAGCAGAAATAAGAACATTTACCTCACACCTGGAAGAGGTTTTATGATATGCTGGACTTTATTAGGAAAACCACCAGAGCTGCAGAGATGCTACTCTCTATCCAGTCCTTCATTTAGAAGCTACTCAAAAGTTGAGATTAACGATGGGCAGCTTTGGCGAGAAAAGCATTTTGAGAAGAAGAAAAAAAACCTCCTGATCTTGAAAGCTGAACTTCTATTTCAACTTCTTGTCTCTCCTTTGAGATATTTATTGACTGGCACATAGTTGAATTTATTTGATCTAGATCAGTGTTTCTCAAAGTTGCCAGTGTTTGGCAACTTTAAGGGGTGTGGACCTCAACTCCCATAATTCCTCAACCAGCATGAGGTCCACAAAGCTTAAAGTTTCCAAGGCTGAGAAACACTGATCTAGATTTTTGTTAGGTATTGTAAACTCCCAAATGGATTTTGAAATCTTTGCTTTTGAAATTTTAAGTACAACCAGTTCATCATCTTTCTCACTTTCAAAAAATATGTAAACACGGGAAAAGAAATTGTGCATTGCTGGTCAATAGACTTATGTCTATCTGTTCTTGAATCCTGGACATTGCCTACAAAGCTTCTGAGAAACTGAAAAGGACTCTGTCATCGACAAACAAACTGTCAGGGCCATATTCCTGGTCTCATGGAAGAAAGAAATCATCCCTCATTACATCACTTTGGTATTGACTAAGTGGCCACTTCAGACGGTCATATACTTAGGTTGACAGCTTACACAAAGATACTGTCAAGAATGAAACTTTGGCAGCTACATGCCTCTTCATTTCAACTTGCCATTAGAATAAGGGCAAGGGAGGTATTGCTTCAGAATCGGTTAGATCACAGGTCGGCAACCTGCGGCTCCGGAGCCGCATGCGGCTCTTTGAGCCTTCCCCTGTGGCTCCCAGCCTCCTCTGCCTTTGCAGAGAGAGACAGAGAGGGGCAATTGCACTTCCCTGCTTCTCTCTCTCTGTGTGTGTGTGTGTGTGTGTCTGTGTGTGTGTGTGTTTTGTGTGTGTGTGTGTTTTGTGTGTGTGTGTGTGTGTGTGTGTGTGTGTGTGTGTGTGTGTGTGTAAAAGAGTGCACTCACAGTGTTCTCCGAGCAGCTGAAAAGCTTTCTGGGCAGAGCTCCTCCCTTTGCTGTGTCTCTGCAGGAAGCAGGAAGGGCAGGAGAGAGCTAGCTAGCCCAGCTAGGCTGACTCAGGAATTCTGGGAGTTGAAGTCCATGAGTCATAAAAGAGACGAGGTGGCCTACCCCGGAGGTTGTTGGACAACAGCTTGAAGCTTGCCAGGTGAGCAGCAGATAGGAGGGGGGGGAGAAAGAGAGAGAGAGAAAGAGAGAGAGAGGGAGAGAGAGAGTGGGGGAAGAGGAGTGGCAGACCAAGGGCAGATAGAGAGGGAGGGAGAGAGAGACCCTTTTGACATCTAAAATGAAGATAACACTGCATATATCCTTTTTTTACCTGTGTGTGTATGTAATCTTATTCCCTTAAAGCATTCTCTTGGTGATCATTGTTTTAATAGTATGGATATTCCCAAGAGTCATATTTTTACTTTTATTTTTAATGTGTATATGTGTGTGTGTGTGTGTGTGTGTGTGTATACCCATTAAGGAGATATATATATATATACATACACATACACACACACACACACACACATACACATACACACACCTATAATAAAGGTAAAAAAGGATATATGCAGTGTTATCTTCATTTTAGATATCAAAAGGGTTTTGCGGCTCCCAGTGTTTTGTTTTTGGTGGGAAACGGGTCCAAGTGGCTCTTTGAGTGTTTTGGGTTGCCTACCCCTGGGTTAGATGGAGAAACGAAACATCTACGCTTCCACTGAAGGCCGTAAGAGCCTGAAACCTTTCCAAGGACACTGCAGAAGGTGTGGAGAGGAAGCAGATGGTTCCCATAACAAAGTGAAATTGTTTATATGGATTGTGAGACAAGGGTGGGGGTTTGGCCAGATAAATGATTGTTTAATTCTAGGAACTGGTGTCTGGGAACCTCAGAGTTAGTTTTGCTTCGACAGTACACTGCCGTATATTCAATAAACGGTAAGATTTTCAGAAACGGAATGAACCTGGACTTTTATTTGGACTCTAGAGCTGGATGCTGACTCCAGATCCTTGAGCTAATTAATGAAAGAATATGTTGGAACCTAGATGTGGATCTCCAAGAGACACCCATGGTTAAAAGAGAAAAGGAAATTCAACCAGACTGCCGGAATCATTTTCTCGAAGTAGGAACAGACCTTGCAGCTGCATGGCTGAAGGAGACTTCTTCATGGGTGATGCCACCCTTAGGAAGATCCTCTGCCGCCAGGAAATCCGACGGGGGGCCAGGGTGAGACCCCCAGCATTTAGAGAGTCACTGCTGCAGACTGAGGAAGTCCTCTTCCTTTTCTCCACATCGCTGCAGGAAAGGACCAGGAGGAAGAAAACACAACGCTGGTCACTAAGAACAGCCCTTCTTGTGAACGCTGAGCCGTCGCCCATCCAAAGCCAGCAAGAGCATTTACAAACCCCAGGTTGCATTCGATCACCAGGCTCAGGGGCAGCCCAGAGACTCCATAGGGGACCTGGCCTCACTTTGTCCCAAGGGCATCTCCATCGGCACACAACAACCACAAGAAAAACATGCTTGCTTCTTCGCAGCCAGCCAGCCTTCCTTTCCTCCCCCCACCCCCCAGTCCTTTATCACAATTTCGTTATTACATCCAAACCTAGTGTCTGATTTTTCAGTCCTGGAGCTAATGCCTGTTCTATAAATAGGTCTCAAACCAAAACTAAAAAAAAGGAAGCAATCTTAAAAAACTAATGAGTTAAAAAGGAGGAGGAATACACTTGTTTGAGGCACAACATTCTGGGTTGTTTTTGTTTTTTTTTTTAAAGTAAGCAATCCCCTTCTTTGGTAACTGGAAGGGTGAATTGCTATCCTCCTACTCGACACCGTTGCTGCTCTTCCCATAAAGCAGTTTTAACACACTTGTGTTTATTTGGAAAAAGTGAGAGTGCCCGTGCTCCCTAACAAAGGTTAGGACAGCTGGACAGCTGAGAAACACAAACATTTCAAAATCCATGGAGAAGCCATCCAGGCTGGAGATGGAGGAGATTCAGAGACCTCCCTTTCTGTGATGCTCCTGGGAAAACTTTCCTGAAGGCCTTTTTCCTTTTTCCTGCTTCCTCAAGGAAAACGAAGAACATAAATAGATGGTTAAACAATAAAGCAATTAACTATTGTTGAACCATTGCCATCTCTAAAAATTGGTCTCTCCTGTAGTTACAACAATATGAAGTCTGACTATCTAGAACAGCGGTTCTCAACCTATGGGTCGCGACCCCATTTGGGGTCGATCGACCATTTTGCGGGGGTCGCGAAACAACGTGATCCGCCATTTCCCCCCCCAGGGGGCGGGGCTGCGCATGGGGGCGGCGCCGCGCATAGGGGCGGGGCTGCGCATGCGCGGCGCACCATCACACGAAGATTGAGAATCGCTGATCTAGAAGTAAAAGGTAAAAGTTTCCCCTGTCCAAGTGTGTCTGACTCATGTCTGTTTCTTAGCCGAGGGCCAGCATTGTCCAAAGACGTTTTCTTATATGGCCGGCAGGACTGTATGCCAAGGGGCATGGAATGCTGTTATCTTCTCACTGAAGTGGTACCCACCGTGTTTCCGTGAAAATAAGAGCTGGTCTTATTTATTTTTTTTGCCTCTAAAAGAGGCAGTAGGTCTTATTTTGGGGGGATGTCTTATTTTTTTTCCTGACACCTGCCTCGCTTCGCGGTGGTGGCACGGATAGCCCTGTCCAGCAGGAGCCCACGTGGCCGGTGGCCCACTACTGCAGCCACTCGCCGGCCACGTGGCCCACTGCGCCATGCCCCCGCCATGAGACAAGGCAGGTGGGGGAGGGGGGGGAGCTGCCCTAAGCGCCCCATAGGCACCCAAATACTTTTCGCCCAGAGGGAGACTGGAAGCTTCGTCTGCTTGCAAATGGGGTGCTTGGAGATGGAGCAATTCGCTCTGTCTCCGAGCACCCCATTTGCAAGCAGACGAAGCTTCCGGTCTCTGTCATTTCTCTGTCCGGATGAAAAGTATTTGGACGCCTACGGAGTGCTTGGAAATAGAGTGTTCCGTTTTCCAATGCCCCATAAGCGCCCAAACACAAAAGACTGGAAGCTTGCAAACGGGGTGCATGGAGAAGGAGCGAATCGCTCCGTTTCTAAGCGCCCAATTCCCAAATGGACCAAGCTTCCAGTTTCTCTCTGGGCGAAAAGTACATGGCACGTCCGAATCGCCTGCCTCGCCTCCACCTCCACGCTCGGACTTTCCTACACTGTGCCAAGGGCAGGAGAGCTGCAGCTGCTGCCGGACACCATCTGCCCCTGCACGCTCGCTGCTGCTTGTACTGGCCACGCCCACCCACCCCCAGGGCTTATTTTGGGGGTAAGGCTTATATTAGGCCCACCCCCAAAAAAATCAGGCTAAGGCTTATTTTCAGGGTGGGTCTTATTTTCAGGGAAATAGGATATATATCTATTTGCATTTGCATGCTTTCTAATTGCTAAGTGGGCAGAAGCTGGAGCGAGGAACAGGAGCTCACCCCGTCGCCAGGAGCTTGGGTCTTGAACCCTGGCTGCCACTGATAAGCTCAGCATCTTTAACCACTGAGCCATCAAGCCCCCAGCAACTATTTAATAAAAGTTTAAATCTTCAACAGTCATAGGAATGATTTCACAACAACAGTAAGTGGGGGGGACCCCATAGGCATAGCTCACGAGTCCTAAAAAGGTTATGAACAGCAAAACTTCCAAAAAGGGAATTAGCAATATTCACAGTTTGGCTTTAAATTAACCCAGAAGCTATAATTCAAACAAGCATTCAGATAAGCTCTTCTGGCAGTTAAATATGTTTACAGTTTAATCATTCTCATTTTTCCTCCAGCAGTACAAAAAAAAAAGTCTTAAATAGTTTTTAGCATAATGCAAAACATTCCTTCACTTGGGAGCTTGGATCATTTTTTATTTTTATTTTTTTTTAAAAAATCAGTATTAAGTAAAACAGCAAAACCATTAATGCATTATGATAGTAATTACCTCCAAACATCATTTTCTTTGAATACCAGACAGCTCAATGTTATCCTTAAGTAAGTGTGTAAGAGAGGCACAAGGAATTTCCAAAGAATTAGCCCACGATGAAACCCTGCTTTTATTTCAGACAGCGGTGAAACTCTGTTAAGAGTATGTATTCATACTTGTCTACACTCAAAGGGGGAAATTTTACAGAACTTCGCTATCCAACATATATAATACTTACAAAGCTACTCTCTTCTTCCTCTTTTATGAACCACACTGAGCTTCTCCAAAAACAAAGTGGTCTTTCCTACCACCCTCCATGGACCTTTGCCGCAACATTCCACGCCCGTCACCTAAAATTATGTTGTCACAATTTTTCTGTGTGTAACAGGAATGCTTCTGGTTTGATCCAGCTGACCCTGAGAGAAATGTTTATGCTGATGCTCAGCATTAATATTTGCATTTTCTACTTTGCATTTGCTTTAGGTTCAACTTCTCTTTTTCTTGGAAGAAACGTATTAACTTAAGGCATCCAGCCCATGCTTTAGTCTGCATTCTTTGAAAGAGAACCAAAACACGTGCATGCACTGGAGAAAAACAGCATGCAAGTGTTCAGTGAAGTGAAGGGAAGCCATGAAGACATTTGTCCCAAGGCTGCTTGGTTAGTAGCAGCTTTAATTCATTCACTTGGAGATCTCTTCCATCCCCTTATGTCAGGGGGGAGGGTCTCCAAACTTGGCAACTTTTAAGACTGATGGACTTCAACCTCCCAGAAATCCCCAGCTGAGGAATTCTGGGAGTTGAAGTCAACAAGTCAAAGTTGCCAAGTTTGGAGAGCCTTGCCTTACGTCCAATGCAAGGAGAATTGGAGGGCTTCTTTAAAAGGCAAGGGAGAAGAAAAGGAAGAACTTCGGACAATCATAGTTTAAGCACATTGTCAGTGGTCCAAACTTCACACAAGATTTTCTCTCTGCCTTTTAAAAATGTTGCACAAAAGGTGATACACCAACCAATTCAGTTACAGCCAGCCGGAAGCGTTCGTTTCTATTCCAAATGGCTTGGAAGAGAAAGAAGAACTTCCTACTGGTTTTGATTGAACGATGACTTCGAGCAACTTTGTAATGAAAGAACAACCAGTTGGCAACCTTACAAGGGCAGCCAATCCCACACTATGTTTTGACTGCTTCTCCCTGAAATCTGCAGAAACCTTTTTAATGTTCTAGAGTCTAGACCAGGGGTAGGCAACCTTGGCTCTTTTATGATGTGTGGACTTCAACTCCCAGAATTCCTGAGTCAGAGTGGCTGGTTCAGGAATTCTGGGTATTGAAGTCCACAAGTCATAAAAGAGCCAAGGTTGCCTACCCCTGGTCTAGACCATCACAAGGAAGAAAAAAGTATGTTGGAGTGACTGATGTGGCTCTCATCTAGGTTAACTGAATAAAGAGGTCTTACGTCTTCATTTAGACCAAAGAGCACTGGAAAAGTCCCAATTCAAGAGAAGGTAGATCTAGATATGTTAAAACTTTTAATTGTATGGATTTATAGGAAAAAAAGTTTAATACAATGGTTGGAAACTGACCAAAGAGAGAAGCAACCTGGAATTAAGGAGAAACTTCCCAATAGTGAGGACAATTAACCAGTGGCACAGAAGTTGCCTTCAGAAATCTTGGGTGCTCCATCACTGGAGGTTTTTAAGAAGAGACTAGACAGTCACTTGTCTGAAATGGTATAGGGTCTCCTGCTTGAGCAGGAGGGTTGGACTAGATGAGGTCTCTTCCAACTCAATTCTATTCTAAGGTGAATCACAAGGTTAGAGATGAGCTTACACCTAAATCATAAACTTATGAGGCAGACTGAATGTCTACATCTTCCATTCTTGTTCCTTAAACTTCGATGTTGACACCATAAAGGTCCCTCCATAGCCCAGGAATTACACAAAAGCATAAAAAGCAGAGAGGTGGACTGCGGAAATAGCTCGGAGTGCCTTGAACCACAAGATGGGCAGCAAATAATTTTAATTCAATTAACTTAACAGCTGGGTTCATCAGCAACAAGACAATCAAGCCACACTTTCAAAGAAGATTGGGGGCATCACCCTCCACCCCACCCCCCAAATCAAAACATGCCAGAGACCTCCCACTATGTCCTGCATGAAGCTTAGCTGTCTGATTAAAATGAGACACTCGGCGCAGAGCGCACACCCACAGGTGGCTGCAGATGGCTGAAAATTGTGCTATTTGCAGGGTTATAAAACATGCCAAGATTCATCACAGTTCGCCACACAGCAAAAATGTAGAAATGCTCATTACTAGAGGGACCACACACAAAAAGATCAACATTGCCGGTGCTTCCCATACCCCCCAAAAACTCTGATCGGTAAACACTTCTATATTAACCAGCAATAATGTAAACCGAAGCTGTTTTATTAAAAACATAAAAATAAAATAGCTTTTTTCAAGGTCAGGCAAGTTTTACAAACTCGGGGTTAAGTTTACCTTCACTATTAAGCATCAGGTGCTCAAATTGGTTGTGGAACAACTGCCAGGAGATTCTGCCAAATTGTCCGTCCTGACCTCAAACCCCGAAAGGATTGAAAAAAAAAAAATCCTTCCACACCCTTCCAGGACGAGAGAGAAGACAAAGAGAGACCTATGAGAAAGCCACACAGACTTACAGGGTGGCTTTTAAAAGGAATACAGGTTTACAATCCGAGTAAAGCTAGGAAGGACCCCGATGTGTCTCTCTCTCTCTCTCTCTCTGGGTCGGCAATGTTGATGTGACCCAAAATGGCATCAGCGTTGACGAGTGGGGCCACGTTAAGCCCATCCTCTGCCTGCAGCTTGGAAGGCATGTGTCCCCAGAGTGCATCAGGCAGGGATGCTCATGAGATGCTTCTTAAGCAGCCAGTGAGGCTCTGGCAAGCCAGATGGGTGGAAATGCAGCAGAGCAGGCGGGCAGGAATAGCGCTCTCACCTCCTGGGGGGATCACCTTCTGGTGGAGAAGACGGCTTCCCAGAACTCTGGTACAAGCTTTTCAGGAAAGAAGGGGCAGAGAAAGAAGAAGGGAGACTGGGAGGCACCGAAGACTCACTCTCACTGCGGGTACGTCGGGCAACTGCCAGCCTGGCAGCAGGCAATGAGAAAAAGGAGAGCCGTAAGTTCTAATCCAGCCTTTAAGAGGGACCCAACCGCTCATCTACACCCACTGCACAAAAGGGCAGAGTTAAGCCGAGTTGCAACTGGGCATTGTCACCAAAACAGCATGCAAATGGGATCCAGGGCAACTCTCCATAGTCAACTCACTGCAGCCAACACGCCGTGGCCAACTTGCCAGGGGACAACTCACTGCCACGGCACAATGCAACGCTGTATTGTTTCTTTTAGTTAGTTTTAACCTTGGCGACCCCATTTTCATCGAAATTATTGCAACTCTTGTATTTCTGGGTTGACTTTATTTCATTATTATTAGCCACGGTTCCATTGAAATTAATTTAACTTTTCTGTTTATAAAGGAGCTGAAATGAGTGTTTCTTTGGTACTCTCTGAGCTTGGTTGTTTTCTTGCGGACGTTTCATTACTCAAACTAGATAACGTCATCAGTGCATTGCTGGGAAATGAAATGTCTGCAAGAAAACGAGTAAGCTCAGAGAGCACCCCTCACTTTTGTAGTTGTTGAATTGTCCTGAGGCAAGTTGTCCTGGGGTAAGTTGGCCACGGCAAGTTGCCCTGGCGAGTTGTCCCATCCTGTGCAAATGAGCTGAGCTGGGGATATGAGAGTTTACTAAACTGAAGAGGATGGGTGCCACACCGGAACACAGCCAGGGGGTTAAATCTAAGTTTGGTCTTCAAGTAGAACAAGAGTTGGTGGATGACTTCCTTCACGGATAGCTTTCCCTCAGCAGAGTGGGTGATTGAATAAATGGTACCTGGGATGTGAAGCTATGGCCAAAAATGCGGGCTGAACCCCTAAACCAAGGATAGGCAGCCTTGGCTCTTTTATGACTCATGGACTTCAACTCCCAGAATTCCTGAGCCAGCCATGCTGAGGGAAAAGGGAGAGGTTTCCAAGCTGAGCCATGCTGGCTCAGGAATTCTGGGAGTTGAAGTCCACGAGTCATAAAAGAGCCAAGGTTGCTTACCCCTGCACTAAACCCTCTTTTTGGGAGACTGCCTCACAATGAATGGAGGACCCGTAAATGACTGCCCTTCCCTCACATGCGTGTGATCTGCAGGCCCCCGCCTTTAAATTACAAGCAAAGTCACTACCTGCTAGATCAGCGGCCCACAACCTTTTGGGGCACTAGGGACCAGTTCTGTGGAGAGAGGTTTTTCTGTGGATCGGATGGGGTGTGTTTTTTTGCGCTGCCTGCATCCTGCAGATGGGGCTTCTCTTGTTTGTGCAGACTGGTTTCTGGCAAGCCGCAGCCTGCTGCCAGTCCACAGACCGGGGATTGGGGACCCCTGTGCTAGATCAGAAGTCCCCAACCTTTTGGGCATCAGGGACCGGTTCTGTGGAGAAAGGTTTTTCCTCGGGCCGAAGAGTGTATGGTTTTGTGTGCTGCCTGCATCCCGCAGATGGGGCTTTGCTTGTTTTGCGGACCGGTTGCTGGCATGCTGTGGCCCAGTGCCGGCCCACGGACTGGGGGTTGGGGACCCCCTGTGCTAGATGACACATTTTACAGTGATTTATGCACACGCTCACACACGCTCACACACTTGCATTTCCAGGGTATTGTGCAGAGCCTGCTTTGAATCAAACCAATCATGTTTTAGGATCCAATCTGGGTCGGTCACCAGGACCAGAGGTTTAGTCTTCTGAACTTTTGGACTCGTTGCTGAAGATCATCCTCGGGGAACTTCTCTCTAGCACACTCTGCTAGTGACAAGCTCCTTGAAGACGGGCTCTAGCACTAATCCGAAAGCTTGGAAGACTAAACTTCCGATCCCGGTGACCCACCCAGATTGATTCCTAAACCTTTATCCTGGGAGACGTATAGTTGCCTTCATTCGCAATAATATTTTGTTGGGGGTTGGGTGGAGGTTGTGGTGTTGTTTTGTTTTGTTTGCAATGTGCAAAAGAGAGAGAGAGAGAAAGAGAGAGAATGCACAACAATCAGTCACTTTCTGCAGGATGATGAGGTCATCTAATTCTAGGCATTATTTACACCAGTGGTTCTCAACCTTTTTAATGCTGCGACCCCAACCGGTCGTAAGTCGAGGACTACTCAACCGGTTGTAAGTCGAGGACGACTCAACTGGTGCAGCACCGTTTGCCGAATGGGACTTTTGGCGGGCTCAGCAGGGCAGAGACAGCTTGGACAATTCCTATTGGCTTTTGAAAGCCAATAAAATTAGATTCTATTCAAGAGAGTCTATTCTATTGGCTTTCAAAAGCCAATAGAATAAAAGGGAGTAGCACAGCTAAAGAAAAGGGGGAAAATAATGGCGGACTGCTTTGTTTGGCGACCCCCGTGAAATGGTCGTTCGACCCCAAATGGGGTCCCGACCCACAGGTTGAGAACCACTGATTTACACAATTCCACAGAATAAATAAATATACATTTGTTAGGGTTTTTCTGAGGATGGGAGGAGCAGATTTATTTCCACTTTTAAAATGGAGAACAACGTCTGGGGTGTTTTTCTTAGCCCCAGCTGCTAACCAATTCTTGGAAGGAACTGTTTCCGTGCCAAAAAACAAGCACGTGGAAAAGCAACATCTGGCAAGGGAAATTGCTGCTCTAATTAGGAAAACTGGCTGAGCAAGCGAGAGCCTGACAAAGACAAAGAAAGAAATGCTGGGCTGCTGGACTAACCACTGTTATTGCTCAGGTTTCCTGTTGTGCTGCAAGGTTACAGTCTGAGCTGGAGGAAAATACTAAAAAAAAAAAAAAAAAAAAAAAAAGCAGAGAGGCAAGACACTTACAAAGCGATCGCATGTCAAACAAACCACTTTCTCATCTGTTCTGAAAAATAAGAGTTCAGAAGAAATGAAATCTGCAGTTTGCCTAAAGTTCTTATTCCCTTAGAATTAGATAGTATGTAATTTGGCAAATCTAGGTAGTATACTAAAAAGCAGAGACATCACCCTGCCAACAAAAGTGCGTATAGTCGTCAAGGCCACGGTTTTCCCAGTTGCAATGTATGGCTGTGAAAGTTGGACCATAAGAAAGTCTGAGCGCAAAAGAATTGAGGCCTTTGAACTATGGTGCAGGAGAAGAGTCCTGCGAGTCCCCTGGACTGCAAGGCGATCAAACCAGTCAGTCCTAGAGGAGATCTGCTCTTTAGAAGGCCAGATCCTGAAGTTGAAACTCAAGTACTTTGGCCACCTAATGAGAAGGAAGGACTCACTGGAGAAGAGCCAAATGCTGGGAAAGATGGAGGACAATAGAAGAATGGGACAACAGGGAATGAGGTGGCTGGATGGAGTCACTGAAGCAGGAGGCGTGAGCTTAAAGGGACTCCAGAAGATGGTAGAGGACAGGAAGGCCTGGAGGAACATTGTCCATGGGGTCGCGATGGGTCAGACATGACTTCGCAACTAACAACAACAATTTGGAGAGAAATGGCTATCAGAGAAGGAACCCAAAAATGCTTCTTCAGACTGAAGTTGCTGAAGACTAAAGACTAAAGAGGATCCCATGGGAGGAATGAACCAGTTAGGCCCAGCACCTGGACTTCTCAGACTGGCTTAATTTTGCCCTTGGTCATGAGTGGCTATGATAGCCACTTTTGCAGAGGAAAAAAAGTAAATTGGAAGAGGCTGCTGGTGCAGAAATGCCCAGGAAATGGTTAAAAATAAGGGAGGAAGAGGCCCAGGTTAGGGATGCTCCCTCATCAATTCCCTTGAGCTATTTATCACCACTCAAGGACATAGCAAACCAGTGTTCTGAAGCAATAGTCCCAGGCAGATCTGGATCTGTTTGGTCAATTCCTTCTGCCTCCTGTCCCAAAGGTGCTTTTCCAAAAGGCAACTGGACTTTCTTGGTTTTTTTCCTTTGAAAACGTTTTATTTTCTCATCCAAGAAACTTCCTCAATTCAGTTCAGTGAAGTTAACTGAAGAAGATTCTTGGATGATAATAGCAATAGCACTTAGACTTATATACCACTTCACAGTGCTTTTACAGCCTTCTCCAAGCAGTTTACAGACTCAGCGTCTTGCCCCCAACAATCTGGATTCTCCTTTTACTGACCTTGGAAGGCTGAATCAACCTTGAGGCCTGTCTGGATTGAACTCCTGGCAGTGACCAGTGAGTTAGTCTGCAGTACTGCATTCTAACCACTGCGCCACCACGGCTAAAGTGAAACGTTTTCAAATTAAAAAAAATAAAGTCCAGTTGCCTTTTGGAAAAGCACCTTCGGGACAACCATGACGTGGATGATCATCAAATTTGCAGATGACACTAAGCTGACAGGAAGAGCCAACACCCCAGAAGACAAGCTCAGGATCCAAAAAGATCTGGACAGACTTGAACAATGGGCCCCATCCAACAACATGAAATTTAATGTGGAGAAAAGCAAGGTTTGACACCTGGGCAGGAAAAACCAAAGGTATAAGTACAGATTAGGTGAAACCTGGCTCAAAAACTGTAACTGTGAGAGGGACCTTGGAGTCCTAGTGGACGATCACTTAAACATGAGCCAGCAGTGTGCGACAGCAGCCAAAAAAGCTAATACAATCCTTGGTGGAATAAACACAGGGATAGAATCAAAATGACATGAAGTGTAAGCCCTGCTTTAAAAATCCTTAATAAGACCACACCTGGAATAATGTATCCAGTTTTGGTCACCACATTATAAAAAAAAAAATGTTGAAACTTTGGAAAAAGTGCAGAGAAGAACAACTATGATGATTAAGGGCCTGGAGACTAAAACTTGTGAAAAACGGTTGCAGGAATTGGGTATGGCCAGTCTAGAGAAGACAAGGACTAAGGGTGACATGAGAGCAGTATTCCAGTATTTGAGGGGATGCCACAAAGAAGAGGGGGGTCAACCTATTTTCCAAAGCACCCGAAGGCAAGACAAGAAACAATGGATGGACACTAATCAAGGAGAGAAGCAACTTGGAATTAAGGAGAAACTTCCTAACAGTGAGGACAATTAACCAGTGGAACAGCTTGCCTGTTTTAGGTGCTTCATCACTAGAGGTTTTTAAGAAGAGACTGGACAGCCACCTATCTGAAATGGTATGGGATCTCCTGCTTGAGCAGGAGGTTGGACTAGAAGACCTCCAAGGTCCCTTTTAGCTCTGATTGATTGAGAATCTCCACAGACACTTCTCCCTCCTGAAAGCCGTGTAGCATCTGACTCCCAAGCTCCCTGTGCACTGTTTCCTATTCCTGCCCAAACCTGGGCAGATATTTCAGCCTGACAAGGGAGGAGATTCTGCATTTTAGGGATAAACCCACTTTTGGATACTAAGGGTTTGTGACCTCTTGAGGTCTTAAGAGTTAAATATCCTAAATGTCCCGGTTTTTGGCTGACAAAGCCCCGAAGGACTCTTTGTCCTCAGAAATGGGTCGCATTGAAAGCAATAAGGGAGACCACAATGCCACAAGAGTCTTTGCGTACACAGAGTCAACTCCTCTGGGTTTTGCGAAAGCCAGAGGGTGTGTCAACCAGGCAGGGATTAAACTCCCACCGTATCTCCTCACACAGAGCAGTGTTTGAAGGTGTTCAAAAGTTGCCGCTGCAATCTGACAAAGGCCCCCCCTTTTTTTTCCCCCGAAATGATTCAGCCCTCGCTGGCTTCCCATTCATTTCACAGACCGGTCTGAAATCCTGAGAATAACGTTTTAATCCCCGCCGTTTGGGACTGATTAGCGGGAGGACAATTGGGCTTTACAAGATCTCTCTTTTCTCCTCCCCTTTCTTTCTTTTTTTGGGACTTTCAAACTTCTGAATGTTGGCCTGCTAAATATGCTGATCATAACCTTGAACAACTGGACTGATCCAGTTTTGCTCCTAATTTTCTTTCGCTTAGGATGGATTCGTGCTTCAAATTATTTTTTTCTTAAAATAGCACCAGTAGACTGTAAACGCTCCTTTCCCCTTTTAACACTGAAGCAGCTTTGAAGAAATCAGGGAAAAAAAAAAAAAGACCATTTTATTTTTACAAAGCAGAATTCAATTCAAGTCTGGATGAAGCTACACAATTTCAAGCAAAACAAGCATCTTTCGAAAATGTTCCCTTGCTTTCTCTAAATTTTTTCAGGGCTGAGATTTAAACCCGTAGAATCTTGGAAATGGCTATTTTAAACTAAACACACCTGTCTGGGTGCACAGGATAAATGACAATTTTGTAGTCCCCAAGCTGCTTTTTCAAAGAGACAACTGGACTTTCTTGTTTTTCTTTGATGATGTTTTGCTTGTTATCCAAGAAATTTTTCAGGTGATCTTGAGGAGACAGACAAGCCTCAAGGACTCTCTAAAACAGTGGTTCTCAACCTTTTTAATGCCGCGACCCCCAACCGGTCGTAAGTCGAGGATTACTCAACCAGTTGTAAGTCGAGGACTACTCAACTGGTGCAGCATGGGATTTTTGGCGGGCTCAGCAGGGCAGAGACAGCCTGGACAATTCCTACTGGCTTTTGAAAGCCAATAGAATTAGACTCTATTCAAGAGAGTCTATTCTATTAGCTTTCAAAAGCCAATAGAATAAAAAGGGAGTAGCACAGCTAAGGAAAAGGGGGAAAAAATGGCGGACTGTGTTGTTTGCCGATCCCCATGAAATGGTCGTTCGACCCCAAATGGGGTCCCAACCCACAGGTTGAGAACCACTGCTCTAAAAGAAGGCAAATGATCAGCTGTCTGCAAGGAATATAAACCCTTCCATTCCCCACCGTCCAGTCAGAGCTGAAGAAGCTTTTTGGGATGAGAAGCGAAACATCTTCAAAGAAAAACAAAGAAAAAGCAACTTTGGGACCACCATATCCTGGATACGGAGAATCTCCACAGATAATTTTGAACCTTCCTTTTTATAAGGACTAAAATGTATCTCTGTCAAGAAATCTGCTAAGAGTTGGGGCGATAGGTATTATTTTCATTATTATTCAAAGCGTACACCTGGCACGTAAAATACGCTGCAACTGTCCCATCCCAGTTTGTCTGAAGGCAGTCCTGGCCTTCCTGGGTCAAGGGTCTTAGGAGGCCTCCCCAGATGGGCATCCAGCCAGCATCTGCTCTGAAGAAAGCCACTTGCCCCCACCTCCACCCCCTAGCCCAACTCACCTGCTCTGTTCGGCTGAGTTCTGCCTCAGGAGGGGCGACCGGACGCTTTGAGACCGTCCATCCTGGAAAGTGATCCTCTTCTTGGAAGCGGAGGGTGGGTGGCTAAATGTGTGGGCGCGTCTCCTGAACTGGGGAGAGTCGGAGTCCTCTTCGGGAAAGGGGTGCCCGGCCAAGGCGACGGGAGATGCCGGCGGCGTGGAGGGCGGGGAGTCCCCAGAGGAGAAGTCCTAGAAGCCACAGACACGGATGAGGCGCTCTCCTGATGACCCACACCTTCTACGCACCTCCCGGGCCAAACAAGAGAGGTGCCCTTCCCCGCACAAAGACAGGCGCGCCTTGCAGCTTAAGAACCAAACGTGCAAAAACCCCACACTTTGCTGGCGGAAGGGAGGACACGGTCCACCTTCGACGTCGCCCCAGAGAGTCCAAACGTTACTAGAGGACCATCTGGAGAGGGAGGAAGAGGAGGAGGAAGTGAGCCAGAAGCCCACCTCCTCACCAAAGCGGGCCCCTTGGCCTGGTTCCTGGATCTGGGGCCGACAGGATTTCCCGGCCTTGTCAGAGCTGCTTCTGTTACGAGCTCCGCTTTGAATAACCCGACAGAATAATTGAAAACCACACAAACAGTCTTTTATATCCCGGGGAAGGGAAGAAGAGGGGACGATCTCTATTGTAGGAGTAACAGGGAGAGGATTTAAACAGGAAATAAGCGGAAAAGGTACTATTCACACCCTGCTTAGCCCAAGAGGACCCTCCCTCCAGGGACAACACTCAGATGCTCCCCATGCTGGCAGAGACAGGAGAAAACTTTTCTGCTTGTGCAAAGAAAGCCCGGGGAATTTATTATTTCCTTTCCTCTCAGTTGTTCTCTTTAACGTTGGAAAAAAAAAAATTATAGGTAAACGTTCATAACGGAGCCCAAAAATTCCATTGCTAAGTGAGACAGCGGTTCACTGGGTTTTGCCTCGTTAAGTGAACCGCTACGGTTATTAAGATAGTAACAGGGTTGTTAAGTGAATCTGGCTCTCCCCCCATTGACTTTGCTTGGCAGAAGGTCACAAGAGGGGAATCACGTGACCCCAGGGATGCTGCCACTGTGATAAATATGAATCCGTGGCTAAGCATCCGAATTTTGATCACGTGACCCTGGGGACGTTGCCACGGTCATAACTGTGAAGAATAATGAGGCACGTTTTTTGTTGCCGTTGTAATTTCAAAAGGTCACTAAGTGGGTAAGTGTAAATTGAGAACTACCTGTAATAAAAACAAGGAAAACAACGCCTTTGATTCTTCTGCAATGGGCTCTACCCCTAGGCCAGTGGTGGCGAACCTATAGCACAGGTGCCAGAGGCGGCACTCGGTGGCCTCTCTATGGGCACATGTGCCGTTGCCCCACCCTCACCTCCCCCCGTGACCCCCTCCTCTCCAGCAGCCCTTCTGAAGGAGAGTCACCCCTGAGCATGGCCCATGCAGAGCAGTGCAGCCAAGGACATGGCAGCCAGACAGCGTAGACAAGACTCTGCCCTCACACCCCATTATGCAGGGCGCGGGCAGAGGGCATGACCGCCATAGCGCTGCTGGGCTGCCTGGACAATCTGCGGCAGGCCCTGGAGGCGGTGAGTGGCCCTGCGGGCAGGCGGGGCAGAAGATGGGGGGCAGAGTGGGGGCGGGGCCACTTTTGGGGCACTGCCCTAGGCACTTCCACCCATTTAGAATAGAAGAATAGAATAAAAACTTTATTGTCACTTTAAATGGGCACTAATCAGCAGACATTAAAATGAAATTTCACTGCATTCACCTCTCAAAAAAATACCATTGTGCATATGCCCACACACATACACACATATATGACACAGAGAAAAATCACAATCTAGTTTGAATGTATACATAGACATGGTGGGGGGGGGGAAGAATCCTGCGAATTTACAAGACGGATGCAGTAAGGAACAAAGCTTTTTCAGAATCTAGTTGTTCGGCTATAAATACTTTGAAACCTCCTCCCGGAGAGAAGCAACAGAAACAGACCGTGAAGTGGGTGTGTGGGGGTCTCTAACAATGCTTTGAGCTCTTAGCACTTAGCACTTACAAGCAGTATCCTGAATCACGGGAAGCAAGTTTTCTATAATCTTCTCAGCTGTCCTTACCACTCTGTGTGTGGACCTTCTGTCTGAGGCACTGCTCAACCCAAAGATGGGTGCAGTTTTGTTAAAATGCTCTCAGTTGTGCCTCTGTAAAAAGTGGCCAGGACACAAGGAGAAAGATATGCTCTCCTCATCCAGATGGAGGGAATGGAAATGCTGGTTTGCATGCTTCACTAAAGTTAATGTGTGAAGGGAGCAAGTCAGATTGTTGGCTGTCTGCACCCCCAGGGACTGAATAGTATTGGCTATTTTGTACTTACTTTGTCAGAAGTGAGATGGTTGCACCTTTCAAAGCTCTCCGTGCTCCCCAGGCGACCACGCATGCGACTGGCCCCCTGCAAGACACAAGAGACCGCTTGGTGGCATCCATTTCCTGCCTCGGTGGCTCCTGTGCTGACAGGAAGACCCTCGTGAGCCAGTTTGGTCTAGTGCAGTGGTGGCGAACCTATGGCACGGGTGCCAGAGGCGGCACTCAGAGCCCTCTCTGTGGGCACACGCATCGTCGCCCCAGTCCTAGGCCTTCAGCTGGGTTTTATAAAACCTTTTCGCTTTAGGCCTCCGCCGCTGTGTGCAACAACAACAACAAAAGGTTCAATCAGTCAATTTCAACTTGTCGTGGGGAAAAAAAAGTTCCTGCAAAGTTGGAATTGATGGATTGAACTTTTTAGTCCCACCCACTCTGCCGTTACCACGGCAGCCATGCCCACCCAATGGGCCACACCCACCCAATGGGCCACACCCACCCGGCACTTGATGATGCATAAGTGGGTTTTGGGTTGCAGTTTGGGCACTCGGTCTCTAAACGGTTCGCCATCACTGGTCTAGTGGTTAAGGCACTAGCCTAGAAATCGGGAGACTGTGAGTTCAAGTCCTGCCTTTGCTATGAAAACCAGCGGGGTGACCTTGGGCCAGTCACCCTCTCTCAACCCAGCCCACCTCGCAGGGCTCTTATTGTGGGGGGGAAATAGGAAGAGGAAGGCATGTTTGGATATGTTTGCCACCTTGAGTTATTTGTAAAACTATTAAAGGCAAGATGCAAATAAGTAAATAAGTACATTCCTCAAAACAAACCCAAACGGGGCAGTGATGTCAACTGGCAGTCCTGGAGCCCCTTGTAAAGGCTGATTTTTCATAAGTCTGGAGAGTCTCCCTTCCGGAAGATCTATTTCAAAGCAAATAGTCACACCACCTAATGTACAACCTTGGGGAAAAGTACAACTTTTCACAGAACTGTATGCCGTGCCAAATCGTGCCCTTTCAGTGCCAAACACTGCCATAATGAATAATAACAGTGTAACAGAGTTGGAAGGGACCTTGGAGGTCTTCTAGTCCAACCCCCTGCACAAGCAGGAGACCCTATGGCAGTGGTGGCGAACCTATGGCACGGGTGCCAGAGGCGGCACTCGGAGCCCTCTCTGTGGGCACACACACCGTCTCCTCAGCCCCGCCTCCTCCCATGGCCCTCTCCTCACCAGCAGTCCCCCCCCCCAGGAGTCGCCCCTGGGCGCGGCCCGCACGAACCAGTGGAGCCAAGGACATGGTAGCCGAGCAGCGGGGACAAGACTCCGCCCTTGCGCCCCGTCGTGCGCAGATGATGCTGCAGGGCATGGGTGGAGGACGTGGCCACCATGGTGCTGCTGGGCTGCCTGGGTGATCTGTGGCAGACCGTGGAGGTGGTGGGTGGCTCATTGGGTAGGGCGGAGCGGGGATTGGGGTGGGGGGCAGTTTATGGGCACTCGGTCTCCAAAAGGTTCACCATCACTGCCCTATAGCATTCTGGACAAATGGCTGTCCAGTCACTTCTTAAAAAGCTCCAGTGTTGGAACACACACAACTTCTGGTGGCAAGCTGTTCCACTGATTAATTGTTCTCACTGTCAGGAAGTTTCTCCTTAGTTCTAGAGTTTGCATCTCTCCTTGATTAGTCTCCATCCACTGTTTTGTTGCCTTGCCTTCTGGTGCTTTGGAGAATAGGCTGACCCCCTCTTCTCTGTGGCAGCCCCTATTGGAAGACTGCTATCACATCTCCCCGGGTCCTTCTTTTCAATTCCTGCAACCGTTCTTGAAAGCTAAATTCTGGACTGGCACAATTAAAGCCAAATTCTGAAGGAGTGATTTCGAAGGGAAGTGAGCAGTTTGAAAATAGCAGCTTTGGAGAGAACAGAGCAATTCACAATGTTTGTGGGACACCGCTGTGAGAAAGGTACCTCGTCTGCTTCCTCACCACCCCCAAAGAAACTTAATTTGACAGAGAAAACGGTTTAAAACAGTGGTTCTCAACCTTTTTAATGCTGTGACCCCCAACTGGTCGTAAGTCGAGGACTACTCAACCGGTCGTAAGTCGAGGACTACTCAACTGGTGCAGCACCGTTTGCAGAATGGGACTTTTGGCGGGCTCAGCAGGGCAGAGACAGCCTGGACAATTCCTATTGCTTTTGAAAGCCAATAGAATTAGACTCTATTCAAGAGAGTCTATTCTATTGGCTTTCAAAAGCCAATAGAATAAAAGGGATAGCACAGCTAAGGAAAAGGGGGAAAAAATGGCGGACTGCATTGTTTGGCAACCCCCGTGAAATGGTCGTTTGACCCCAAATGGGGTCCCGACCCACAGGTTGAGAACCGCTGGTTTAAAAGGACTTTATCAGCCACCGACTCCCTTCTGAGCAGTTTATCTCACCCTGGAGAAGATGTTTTCGAGAGAGCTGGTTAAGGATTTCTTGGCTTTGTTCTTCAGGATATCCAGGGTGAATCTTCCACTACTGGTGCTGTTTTCTGGGATTGTGTTATTAGACGCATTCTGCATGGTGAAGATAAACCATCCTATCAACGCAGGCAACTGAGGAGGTCCAAAATATGCAACAGCCAAACTGATTCCAAACAGAAAAATAATAAACACCGGAAGTTGTCAGGGACAAGGGCTGGGCTGGGTTTCAGAAAAAGATAAAAGGCTGTTTTGTCCAGCTGTTCTCCTCCCCCCCTCCCATTTCAAATTTTTAAAAAAGCTCCATTTTTTTTTTGCAGAGTCATCCATTTAGATCAGTGTTTCTCAACCTTGACAATTTTAAGGCACGTGGACTTCAACTCCCAGAATTCCACAGCCAGCATTGCTGGCTGTGGAATTCTGGGAGTTGAAATCCACATGCCTTAAAATTGTCAAGGTTGAGAAACACTGATTTAGATGAAATATCAGGTAGACACGAATGCAGAACTGGCTTTTATTTATTTAAGCTACAGGAGGTTCTCGACGTAAGACCGAAATTCGGACTGGAATGTTCGTGGTAGGTCTTCGCAATCAAATCGCTCCCTAATTTCTGACCATTTTTTTACAACAGGCATTGTGAATCGTTTCTTCCAAATGGGCGGGGGGGGGGTTGGCCCAAAACTGGCAAAGGAAATTACAAATGGCAATCACTGGACTATACCATTGGTCGTAATTGAGCCCAAAATTTCTGTTGTTAAGTAAAACACTGGTAAACTGGGTTTTGCCCCATTTTACGACCTTTCTTGCCACATTTGTTAAGTGAATCACTGCAGTTGTTAAGTTAGTAACATGGTTGTTAAGTGAATCTGGCTCTGCTTGTCAGGCGGTCGCAAAAGGAGATCACAGGACCCTGGGATGCTGATGCAATGGTCATAAATATGAGCCAGCTGCCAAGCATCTGAATTTTGGGGATGCTGCAAAGGTCGTGTGAATAATGGCCATAAGTCACTTTTTTTCATTGTCGTCGTAACTTGGAAAGGTCACTCAACGAACTGTTGTAAGTCGAGGACCGCCTGCATTCAGCCCCAGTGTAACTTTGGTTGCTGAGCTAATGTTCGTTAAGTTGAACTCGATTTAAACCAAATCTGGCTGGGACAGAGGAAGGCTTTCTAGGCTCAAGGAAATCTAGTCCTCGCTCCCTTAAGGATCCCAGCAGCAAAATTATCCCAGAAGGACAGTGCTAGTCTCTGCCCACCAAAATTCTATCTGGATCCTTCCTGCATCATCTGTTTTCAGATAAGTCTCCTAAGAAGCAGGAAGGGAACTGTTAGGAGGATAGGGATAGGGATAGGGATAAGGATAAGGACAGAGTGGAGTGGAGTGGAATGGAATGGAATGGAATGGAATAGAATAGAACAGCATAGCATAGCATAGCATAGCATAGAATAGAAAATATGGAATAGAATAGAATGGCATGGAATGGAATAGAACAGCATAGCATAGCATAGCATAGAATAGACAATATGGAATGGAACGGAACGGAACAGAACAGAATAGAACAGAACAGAACAGAATAGAATAGAACAGCATAGCATAGCACAGCATAGAATAGAAAATATGGAACGGAATAGAATGGCATGGAATGGAATAGAACAGCATAGCATAGCATAGAATAGACAATATGGAATGGAACGGAACGGAACGGAACAGAACAGAATAGAACAGAACAGAATAGAATAGAACAGCATAGCATAGCATAGCATAGCATAGAATAGAAAATATGGAACGGAATAGAATGGCATGGAATGGAATAGAACAGCATAGCATAGCATAGCATAGCATAGCATAGAATAGACAATATGGAACGGAACGGAACAGAACAGAATAGAATAGAACAGCATAGCATAGCATAGCATAGCATAGCATAGCATAGAATAGACAATATGGAATGGAATGGAATGGAATGGAATGGAATGGAATAGAATAGAATAGAATAGAATAGAATAGAATAGAATAGAATAGAATAGAATAGAATAGAACAATAACTTTATTGCCACTTTAAATGTACACTAATCAGCATACATTAAAATGAGATTCCATGGCATACATGGAGTGTAATTCCTGTGAACGGAAAGGCTGAAGGAGTCCCTGAAGCTCCTAAGAAGCCAGAGAAGGAGGAAGCTCACCATCGGGGCCTCGTCAACGTGAATGTGGGTCTTTTGCTTCACCTCACACAAGTGGCGTAGATGGAAAATCAGCAGCTCGTTTTCTTCCTGGTCACTCACTGGCTTCATTTTCTGCCAGGGGAGAAAAGAAGCAAATATTTTTGAGGACCACCCAGCTCCAATTTGCAGCCAGATGCATCAGTGTTCCAAAAGGAATTTGCTACTTGACATGCGCTTCTGATTCTGGGAGGCTTCGGAGCCCACAGAGAGGCAGAGATCAACCCTTGGGCCAAATTTGAGTGTGTGTGTGTGTGTGTGTGTGTGTGTGTGTGTGTATGTGTCTGTTTATTACCTGAACACGCTCAAAGATGTCAGCCTGTTCGTTGTCGCTGAGAGAAGACAGGTGCCTCTGAATCACGAGCTTGGCTCTTGGTGGATAAAGTCCTTCAAAGGGAAAAAAAGAGAGAGGCCATTGGGCCTCCAAGAGCTTTACTCATTGGAAAGTCCTCCCAGCCACTTCTCTGAAGCCAGAAAGAGGATTCAGCTAAAGTAGATCATTGCTGAAATCCACACAGCCTCTGCCAAAGCCCCAATGCCCACCCGTGCCCTCGCCACCCAGATGCCTGACACCCCTTAGAGCCAGGAGAGACCTCCCCACTTGACCATTCAAGCTTCCTGCCAGAGTTTTGCTTCTCCTTTCCTCACACAGGGTGGTTTTGTTGCGAGCCCCCCCCCCAGCCCTCTCCCCTGTCTCGTTAGGTTGATTTGGCTACCAACAAAAGTGATTTGCAAAGTCTGAGGATCATGAAGGAGGTGGGCGTTGCCCTAAGCAGCGTGGCAACTTCACTCCCAAAGGAGAGATTGGGGAGAAGGTGGGTGGGAGCAACACACAGAGATATCTCTGCAGTCTTGATCATCAATCCTGGAAGCGAAGGGCCTCTGCTGGCAGAAGACCACCCAGAAGACCCCACCCCACAGACATTCCATTTTTTAATATTTAAATCACCATTGTTAGAAGTCCAACCAAGAGGTCTCAATCAAGAGACTAGGAAAGAATAGGGTTTTTTTTTTTAATCAAACTATTTCCCTCTAAGACAGGGGTGTCAAACTCAACTTCATTGAGGGCCACATCAGCATTGAGGTTGCCCTCGGGGGAGGTGTGTGGTCAGGGTGGGTGCGGCCTATAGGGTGGGCGTGAATGGAGTGGGTGTGGCCTACTGGGTGCGCATGGCCAGCTCTACATCGTTCACGTCAAGGATGCCTGTGGGGGCCTGAGCAGGAGTGGGACAGATCTGAGGGTCTCTGGCAGAAGGGGGTGGGACTGGGGCAAGCGCCAAGGCATGGTCCATTTCTTCATTCCTCACAAAGGGTGACAACTCCCCAGCATGCACCCAGGGGGCGGGGCCGACACGGCAGGGGCTGGTTCCTCGCTGTTTCCAGACAGCCTTGTGGAGCTAAGACTGAATGCGTTTCAGCATAGATGGCCACTACAAAATTGTACATTGGCTCCCTCCCGGCCAGGGCCAGGGCCATGGCAGCAGGGGCTGTTCCCTCACTTTTCCAGGATGGCTTCGCGGGCCACATGAAACCACTTCGCGGGCTGCATCCGCCCCCCCCCAGGCCTTATGTTTGACATATCTGCTCTAAGAATATAACTGGACACCCAGAAGCCAAAAGCTAAACTTACTTGGTTAGTGGCTCCACCTTGGCTAAGGTGCACTCTGAGTTTGGCTTATACAAAAATATCTTAACTATTTGATATGGGCCTACTTCAAAAATCTGGGAGAGAAGACATAGGGCTCCTCCTCAGAGTATATGTATGCTCAGAGCACCACCCAGAAGCAGATATCCTCATTCCAGTCCTTGGTTCAGAATATGAAGTTCTTTGCAACATTTGCATACTGGTGAACACAGCTGACATCGCGACCATTATTTGACAGGGGAGCCTTTGTCCAAGTAGATTTTACGTCAAATTACACAGTACTTTAAAATACCTTTTGGCAAATGAAACAAGTCCTCAGAAGCATGTGAAAACTTTCTTAGATACTTTGGTATTCTCTTGCTCACAAGCTGCCATCTTTTTTAGCTTTTTTTTTTAAGGAAAACAATGAGGCGCCAGCTTCATATCTTTTCAAATCTAAGAAACCCTGGATTTTATTTTTTGGGAATTGAAGAGAGCTTGCCATTAGTCGGTCCCTTCTGCAAACACGGCTTATTAAAGAACAAAACATAATCCGTTTTGGTCTCTGACTCACTACAGCAGGGGTCTTCAAACTTGGCCCTTTTATGACTTGTGGACTTCAACTCCCAGAATTCCTCAGCCAGCGTGCCTGGCTGAGGAATTCTGGGAGTTGAAGTCCACAAGTCATAAAAAGGCCAAGTTTGAAGACCCTTGCACTACAGCTTTTTTTTGTCTCTCTCAATGCTGGATTTTAACGCAAATTTTTAACAAAACCTTTATGGCTTTGCCCACCAGAGGGGGCTGATCACCAAATACATGCTTTCTGAAATAAAACACTGATAATCATAGGAAACAGAAATAAACATTTCTGCTCCATCAGCATCAGCAAAATATTGTAAGACAGTCAAGTTTTTATCCTTGATACCTGCTACCCATCCAGGGAAAATACTGCCCATGTGACTAAAAGGCATTTCTCAAGTTGAATTAAGAGTTAGTCACACACTTTTCGCAAAAGAAGAATGATGAAAAAAAATCTGCTCAACCCATCACCTATATAGAGCAATCAGAAGGGAATGTTTTTACTCGTTCTCTAAGAGAAACCAATCTGCACACAAGGAAATTTCCAAGGACTGTAAGAGGTAACCATTCTGTGCACACTTCACTCAGACCTAGAAGAATGTTTAGGATAATTAAACATGAGAATAAACACGAAATCACTCACATTAAATGGATGGCATAGCTGCATTTGGAAGACTTTCATGCTTCTGGTCCAGAAAGCAAGCATGTCAGAACTGGAAAAGGAGAGCAAATCTTTGGGGACCTCTTAGTTAGAAAAAAAAAAAACCCAAAACAATGACCCAGTCCTTCACCCAAATGTCAAATGAGTAGAGCAGGGGTCTTCAAACTTGGCCCTTTTATGACTTGTGGACTTCAACTCCCAGAATTCCTCCAGGCACGAATTCTGGGAGTTGAAGTCCACAAGTCACAAAAGGGCCAAGTTTGAAGACCCCTGGAGTAGAGAGACCTTTCAAAGAAAGTTAGGCCCTAACTCCCAGATTTGTTACTTTTCAACTTTGAGGGAAAGTTGTAAAAGCAGCTCGCAAGAATATATATATCTGTCATGCTGTGATTAAATTAATACAGCTAGTTAGAAGTGTCAGATGAAGCAAATGGGCTGGACCGGCACGTGACACGGGGCATAAGACGCTGCAAGCCTGTCCAGCCCACTTGACCCCTAACCTTCCTCTCCATCAGCTGCTGCTCATTTGTACGATGAGAACACAAGCTCAGCTCTCCCTAGAAGCTCTTCTTGCAAGATCAGACCAGGCCTTCTTATCCCAGGTCATGCTTCATTCTGGGCTTCATCCGACACTCCTAACTAGATGCATTAATGAATTAAATAACAGCATGACAGATATATATTCTAATGAGCTGCTTTTACAACTTTAAGAATCAGAATAACAGAATTGGAAGGGACCTTGTAGGTCATCTAGTCCCAACCCCTTCCCTGCCCACGCAGGGGATCCGACACCATTTTTGACAGATGGCAGTTCAGTCTCTTCTTGAAAGCTTCCAGTGATGAAGCTCACACAACATCTGAAGGCAAATTGTTCCATTGGTTGATTGTTGTCACTGTCAGAAATTTTCTTCTTTATTTCCAGGTTGAATCTCTTCTTGATCAGTTTCCATCCATTATTCCTTGTCTGACCTTCAGGTGCTTTGGAAAAGAGGCTGATCCCCTCCTCTCTGTGACAGCCCCTCAAATATTGGAAGACTGTTATCATGTCTTCTCTTCATTAGACTAGCCATGCCTAGTTCCTGTAGTCATTCTTCATGTGTTTCAGCCTCCAGTCCCCTAATCATCTTTGTTGCTCTTCTCTTGCTCTGCACTTTTTCTAGAGTCTCAACATCTTTTTTTATAGGGTGGAGACCAAAATTGTTTGCAGTATTCCAGGTGTGGTCTTACTAAGGCTTTATAGAGTGGTATTAGTACCACACGTGATCGTGATTGAATCCCTCTTTCAAAGTTGAAAAGCAACAAATCAGGGAGTCAGGGCCTCAGTTTCTTTGAAAGCCCTCTCTATTCTTTCGGCGTGTTGGTGAAGGACCGGGCTATTGGGTTTTTTTTCCTAACTAAAAGGTCCCCAAAGATTTGCTCTCCTTTTCCAGTTCTGACATGCTTGCTTTGTGGACCAGTACCATGAAAGTCTTCCATGGGGAGGAACGTTTGGGCGAGAGTATACTCGACAGCCCTTGCAGGGCCTTCCGCCCTGTGTGTCTCTTCCAGACTATGCAAGAGTTAAAACCTAGCTACCTTCAATCCTTTCGCACAGCTTGTGCAGGGAGTGCATCGGACAGGCCTCGCACAGTTTGACCTGGGTCTTGGCATTCTGCAGGGCTGCTGCCGTGCTAAAGGCTTGCTTCAGAGTCAGCATTATCTCATCCACCTAGAAAGAGAATGTCAAGATTACACCTGGGTGTTTTTAAGACCCTGGAAGAGCGTTCCCCCCCCCCCAGGTCGAGCCAGGCTCCCAAACCAGCCCCATAGAAAGGGCACAATAGAACTGGGCAACTTTTTCTGCTGCTGGGCCCGTGAAGTGGGCCGTGTTCCCGTGAATTACAATGGAGCTCCCCATTGAAAACCAGATCACATCCAGCCTTCCAGGCATAATCTAGCCTGCAAAGAAGACCCCTCTGCCAGAGCACGGAGCTCCTTGATTGTCAGAAGCTCCATTTCTTAGTTGTTGTTGTTGTTTTTTATCAGTCAAACTCTTGTTGGAGGCTTTTCTGGTGTCCTGCAGATGGGAAGCAAACCCCCAGCCCAGGCGGTGTAAGATTCCCACATCGCCTCCTGCTCCTAACTTCACAAGGGTCAGAGGTTGCAAGTCACTGGCATACAGATTCAAATCCATCTCAGGCCTGAACGGTAGACGAACAGATGGGAGCTATTGAAGAAAACCCACCCAGAGTCTGGAAGGCACATCAACAAGACAGGAAGCTACAGGAAAAAAGCAATTTGACCCTGAACCCTTTGACTTCTCTGAAAAGACTTAGCATTCTTCCTTCTGTTTCTCAGGGCAAACATTTGCAGAGAAAAAGGGAGAGCGGCTGTCTTCTTTATCTGCAACCGGCAGAAGCTTGCCGTTCTGCGTAATAATATCTGCTTCTAAAACCAAACTCTGCAAGGGTTGTTAACCCATCTCTGCCTGGGACCCAAAGGGCAGAGAGTTGTCTCAGTCAGCGCTCCATCAAAACACCGTGAGTTGTTCTTCCAAAGTTGCTTTTCCAAAAGACAACTGGACTTTCTTAGGTTCCTCCTCCCCCCCCCTCCAAAAAAAACACATTTGGTTTCTCATCCAAGAAGCTTCTTCACTTCAGAACTGGAATTTCTTGGATGAGAAATAGAACAATTTCAAAACCAAAAAAGGCCAGTTGGCTTTTGGAAACGGACTTTTGGGACAGGCATGGCCTGAACGGTTGAGAATCTCCATAGAGATATTGTGCCCAAGCTGTAATAGAATAGAATTCTTTATTGGTCTATCCTGCTCTGTGGAGTAGAGAGTTGGTCTCTGACAGAAGGCCACCTGAAGAGATTAAAAGCATTTGAAATGTGGATTTACAGGTGGCTGTTACGTATAAACTGGGTTGACAAGATCAGAAATGAGGAGGTGATAAGCCGCCTGGGGAAGTCAAGGGAAATCATCAAAACAATTAAAAAACTAAAGTTAGAATATTTTGGACATGGATGCGACACCCAGAAAAATACGGCATACTCCATTTAATCCTCCAGGGAAAGATGGAAGGCAAATGAGGTCCAGGCAGAAGAACAACATCGTGGCTTCAAAATCTAAGGGACTGGTTTGGACAAAATTCAGCAGCACTTTTTCGTGCGGCTGCTGATAAAAACAGGATCGCCAACATCCGATAACGGATATGGCACAAGAAGAAGAATTGGTCAAGTGTGTTTGGACACACGAGGAATTTGTCTCTGGTGCATAAGCTCTCAGTGTACACACAAACAACAAAGCGACAGGTCATAGATCATAGATTATAGTTACAATCATTAATCGTACGATACAATAATTCTGAATAATTGTCTGAAGCTGACTTCTGGCCAGCTGAAACTGAAACACAAGCAGCCCTCGACTTACGACCGCAATTGAGCCCCAAATGTCTGTTATTAAGTTGTTAAGCGAGTTTTACCCCATTTTACAGCCTTTCTTGCCACCGCTGTTAAATGACTCACTGCAGTGGTTAAATTAGTAATCGGGTTGTTAAGTGAATTTGGCTTACCCTTTGACTTTGTTTTGTCAGAAGGTTTCAAAAGGGATCATGTGACCCCCCTGGGATGCTGCAACGGTCATAAATATGAACCAGTTACTCAGCGTCTGAATTTGGATCACATGAGCACGGGGTTGCTGCAAAAGCCATATGTCATGGTTCCGACAGATGAAACTCTTCAAAGAACTGCCGAGGCATTGTTTACCATAAAGAATCTTTATTCGAGAAGCATAGCATCGGCAGATACATAGCCAAAGCCAAAATCTGAATTCCCCTCTCCTAAGCACATAGTATCAGAGCACAATTGCCTCCTCTAATTTACAGTCATAAATCACATTCTCCAATTAGTTTGAAATGCAGGCTCTCCCTCCAGTTCTCCAGCCTGCCAATTCTTATCATCTCTTATTTCAAAAAACCTTGATTCCCACACTGGTTACAGTATTGCTATGTCTAACTAAACTCCCAGGCACATTCCTCCTCCCCCCACCCAAGTATCATCTAATTCTAACTCTAATTCTAAGAGTAAAACATAAGAAGGAAAATGGCTGCATCTCCACATGTTGTCAAAGCAGAAACATTTGATGTTAGCAGCGTTGACATTGTAACTGTGAAAAATGGCCATCAGTCAGTTTTTTTCAGTGCCGTTGTAACTTTGAACGGTCACTAAATGAACTGTTGTAAGTTGAGGACTCCCTTTAAAAACTTCCACTGGGCAGTGGCTCAGTTCTGAAGGCTGTCCTGGATCCATCACTCCAGAGATAACCCCAGAGTTTTCCTAGCAAGCAAGGCCATCACCCCAGTGCACTGAAAATAATCCAACTGAAATGCAAAGCTCTCGCCAGCTGATGTTCTGACTGCAAATATGGAGAAACGTATTTAGTGTCTCATTCTCATCCTTGCCCAGGACGTCCAGCGAGAGAGAATCACCATTTCTAGCAACGGCTTCTTGTAATAGTAGTAATAGTAGTAGTAGTAGTAGTAGTAGTAGTAGTAGTAGTAGTAAATAATAATAATAATAATAATAATAATAATAATAATAATAATAATAATAATAATTGACAAATTTGCTATTAGTCAATTGCAAAAGGCGGCCTTATTAGGAACTGCTTCCATCCTGCGACGATACCTGTAATACCATCAAACATCCACATCTGCCTATCCCAGGTCATGGGTAAGGACTCGATAGGTAGACAAAATGCCAAATCCAGTCTGAACATCTGGCTGACTGTGCGATGATCGATAATAATAATAATAATAATAATAATAATAATAATAATAATGTTGGAAGGGACCTTAGAGGTCATCTAGTCCAACCCCCCTGCTCAGGCAGAAACCCTATACCATTTCAGACAAATGGCTGTCCGGTCTCTTCTTAAAAACTTCCAGTATTGGAGCATTCACAGCTTCTGGAGGCAGGTAGTTAATTATTCTCACTGTCAGGAAGTTTCTCCTTAAGTTCTAGGTTGCTTCTCTCTTTGGTTAGTTTCCATCCGTTGATCCTTGTCCTGTCTTCAGGTGCTTTGGAGAATAGCTTGACTCCCTCTTCTTTGTGGTAACCCCTGAGATATTGGAATACTACTATCATGCCCCCCCTTGTCCTTCTCTTCGTTAAACTAGACATACCCAATTCTAGCAACCGTTCCTTATATGTTTTAGCCTCCAGTCCCCTAATCATCTTTGTTGCTCTTCTCTGCACTCTTTCTAGAGTCTCAACATCTTTTTTACATCTTTCTTCTTTCAGTTGAGACATCCATACTTCCTGTGGTGGTTAACCCCACAGCTGGAGAGGTTATAAAATGCCTCAACAGAGTCAGTTCCAACGTCTGAAAATCACAGCAACAGGACTTGGGAAAGGGGAACAGAGTCTACAGATGAGAAGAGTCTCAAAGTCATGGCTGATCACCAGCCAGATCCAAGGCTGGCGGGATTTTAAGTGGCATTATGAGGAACGTGGCTTCAAGGGCCAGAAATAATTCTTCTGCTTGGTTCTGCACTGAAATTTGGTTTGGAGTATTTTAAAGGGAATACCAGTGGAAACAGTTCAACAGATGGCATGAAGATGATCAAAACTAAAGTCGGTGAGAAAAGATTGGGGAGGCCTGGGGTGGGCAGCCTTCTCCAGGCTCTTGATGGAAGGAAGACACACAGATGGCCCAAAAAGAGACAGGATTTCAGGAGGGTAAATTTCAGTTGAATGAGGAGAAACATTTCAGGGCAGGGGGTCCTTCAGCTTTGCTTTACTGGCTGAAGAATTCTGGGAGTTGAAGTCCACAAGTCTTAAAAGTTGCCAAGGTTGAGGACCCCTGTTTTAGTGGATCTGATCAACCATCTTACTGTCTCATTAAAACTCTTTGGGCAGAAACATGACAAGCATTGTGGGAGGCAGCTTAGGTATGTACAAATCTTTGACTCGTTCTGTTCCTTTCTCTGATACGAACCGCTCCCAACTGAAGAAACAATCAAGTCTACCAAAGCATCATATGGATCCAAAAACAGAAACAGCCCTATCTCGTTTTTTTTCCCCAGTTCTGTATCAAACAGATAATGCAAATTACGCTTTAAAGATTCTTACCAGAGATTCACTTGCACATTGGAAGACATAGCAAGCATACTGGCTTATTCCAGGTTCAGTAGATTCTCGACATATAAAACCAAAATGATCGATGTGCTTTATGCCCTAGAGAGGGAAGGAAATGGAGAAATGAAAAATATCACCAACATTTATTTCAAGCAAATTAAAGAAGTAGTGATTAAAGCCATTCCCCTGTCCCCTGTTCCCCTGACTCTAGGGCACGGTGTTCATCTCCGCTTCCTAGTTGAGGGAGCCAGCATTGTCCAAAGACAATGGTCCTGTGGCCGGCATAACTATACACCGAGGTGCACAGACTGCTGTTACCTTCCCACTGAAGTGGTACCTATTTATCTACTTGCATTTGCTTGCTTTCAAACTGCTAGGCTGGCAGGAGCTGGGACAGGAATGGCAGCTCACCCAATCACATGGTACTTGGGTCTCGAACTGCCAACCTTTCGGTCAACAAGCACAGGATCTTAACTGCTAGGCCACCATGCCCCCATTAAAGCCACTTACCAGAATATAATCAGATCCCTTTTTTTAATTTCATGAGTTTTTTGTATTGTGGGGAGCACAAAGAATGTTAGAGAAGAGGCAATGGCAGGGTAGCACAGGTGGGAGGCCTCCCTTACCACAACCACAAAACACTCCCAGGGGAGATGTAAATTCTCAGCCCCACACATTCCTCTCTAGCAGTCTTTGCAAGTCAGAAAGTCCTTTGCTTCCTCCACATAACAGCCTTCCACCTGGTGTGGGATATTATTAAATACATATTTGGAGATGTCTCTGGAGATTCTTAGTCATTCTGGTCGTAGTTGCCCCAAAGATGCTTTTCCACAAGGCAACTGGACTTCCTTGTTTTTCTTTGAAGACATTTCGCTTCTCATCCAAGAAGCTTCTTCAGCTCTGACTGGATGGTGGGGAATCAAAGATTTATACTCCTTGCAGACAGCTAGTCATTTGCATTCTTTTAGAGAGTCGTTACTGCTACCTGGAGGCTTGTCTGTGTCGTCAGGGTCACCTGAGCAGCGCAAATGAGGGTGGAGCCTTCTTGGGACTGCTGAAAGGGCTGTGTTGTAGACTAGAGATGGATGATGTCGTTACCCTCCCCCTCTGATGAGCTAGGGCTGTTCAATTTTGACATAGATGGCCTCTTTGACCCCTTTTTTCAAACCAGCGTGGACTTTGCTGTCTTCAAAAGAGTGGCCTTTGTCTTTTAAGTGCCAATGGACTGCTGAATCTTATCTTGATGGGTTTGTTCTCCTATGTTGTGCCATATGTTTATGAAGAGGTTGTTTTGTTTCCCCAATGTACAAATCTGCACATGGCTCACTGCATTATACTGCATATATCACATTGCTCAGTTTGTGTCTAGGTGTTTTATCCTTTGGATGGACAGAAAGTCCAGTTCCTTGTGAAAAAGTGGGACACATGACTAGAGAGTAACCCAATTTAAGAAATTAATTCCATTCATGAAAGGAGAGCCACCTCTTCGCCTTAGCTGCACACGTTTTGAGGGTGTCCCCACCCTCTCACCACTCAAAGGCTTCAGCTTGGGGAAAAATGTCCCTCTTTTCCCGGCAGTCAATAAATTCTGAGTAGACCTGCCCGGTGTTTCCTTCAACAGCTTGTTGTAGAGGCTCTGTGGCCCAGCATAAGTGCTCAGTCGGTCGGAAGGCGCCTGTGAGATGCCAGAACAACATATATCCCTTATTTATTGTTCTCCAGAGAACAAGGAAGCATAGAGGAGGCTTTTCATGAGCCATGAGCGCTGCTTTTAGTGTTTACACTGCCTGTCAACTTGCACAGATTTTACAAATGAAGCTTCCTGTTTAAAATCAAACCAGGGCAGTGCACTTCCCCCACCTGAAACCCGTTTGAAGTCGTGCTGCTATTTCAGTGCAAAAAAAACCCAGAAGAGACTAAGATGCGCACATACTTTAGGAACTCTCAATCTGGCCACAAAGAACTCTGCCTGGTCATTTAGTAGAAGACAGTTGGCCCAGACCAGATATGGAGATTTAGTATGAAAGCTCAACTTTCTTCTACATTACAACCTTCCAGAATCGGTTCGTTACGAGTCTCGTCCTTCTGACTAGCACGAATTGTTGGGTTGAGCTTGAAGCCCTCGCGGGGAGCCATGACTAAGCAGATCTGAAGAAAACCAGATTGGAGACGGATGTCCCCAAGAAAGAGGATGAGGCATCTCACCTGTTTGCTGGCTTGGGAAGGGGTCTTTGGTGCTTGCCCCTCCCCCCCCAGTCAAGCTCAGGAAATCAGGAGTCTGGGCAGATCAAATGAATGTAGCTTTACGGTACAGGTGGTCCTCGATTTACAAAAAATCATGTACTGAACATGCAAAGTTACAGTGGCACTGAAAGAAGTGACCTATGACTGCTTCTCACGCTTAACGACCATTGCAGCATCCCCAAGGTCACGTGACCAAAATTCAGACGCTCGTCAGCTGACTTATATTTGTGACGATTGCAGTGCCCCAGGGTCACGTGATCACCTTTTGTGACAAAGTCAGAGGGGGAAGCCCAATTCACTTAACTGCGTTACTAACTTAACAAGCCCGATTCACTTAACTGCGTTACTAACTTAACAACTGTGGCAAGAATGGTCGTAAAACGGAGCAAAATTCACTTCACAAATGTTTCTCTTAGCAATGGAAATTTTTTGGATCAGTTGTCGTCGTTAATTCGAGAACCACCTGTATGCTATGTTTTTACAAGAATCTGAACTGGTAAGGGTCAAAGCCGTTGAAGACATGACTGTTGAAGTAAAGACAAGGATAGAAAAAGCCTGAACAGCATTCTTCAAAATGAAAAAGGTCTTCTGCAGTCAAGACATAAGGCTAAGACTGAAAATCAGGCTTGTCAGATGCTCTATTTTTTTTCTATCCTGCTCTATGGAGTAGAGAGTTGGTCTCTGACAGAAGACCACCTGAAGAGACTAGAAGCATTTGAAATGTGGATTTACAGGCAGCTGTTACGTATAAGCTGGGTTGACAAGATCAGAAATGAGGAGGTGATAAGCCGCCTGGGAAAGCCAAGGAAAATCATCAAAACAATTAAAAAATGAAAATTAGAATATTTCGGACATGTGATGCGACACCCAGAAAAATACGACATACTCCATTTAATCCTCCAGGGAAAGATGGAAGGCAAATGAGGTCCAGGCAGAAGAACAACATCGTGGCTTCAAAACCTAAGGGCACTGGTTTGGACAAAACTCAGTAGCACTTTTTCGTGCGGCTGCTAATAAAAACAGGATCACCAACATGATCACCAATGTCCGATAACGGATATGGCACAACAAGAAGAAGAAGGGTCAAAGCTAATGGGCAGTAGATAAGAGCCAAGGGAATTCAGGGTGGGCTGGACTTAGATCTTTTGTCGGTGCAAAGGAATTTGAGACTGATGACGTCTTTTACTCCTCCCTCAGCCTGGTCCTGCAGCCCCTTTTGTGAACACAACCCTCATCTTGGTGATTATCTAGGACAGGGGTAGGCAACCTTGGCTCTTTTATGACCTGTGGACTTCCAGAATTCCTGAGCCAGCATGGCTCAGCATGGAAACCTCTCCCTTTCTCCTCAGCATGGCTGGCTCAGGAATTCTGAGTATTGAAGTCGACAAGTCATAAAAGAGCCAAGGTTGCCTACCCCTGATCTAGGAGGTACAATTCCCAAATGTGTCCCTGCCCACTCCCCCACAATTGAGACTCCTTTTTCATAAAAAGCTACATTTGCCAGCAGGGGCCAAATCCCACACCTAAAAGAAGAAAACAAGGAGGGGGAAAAAAGCAATCTAAAGCAGTGTTTCTCAACCTTGACAATTTTAAGGCATGTGGACTTCAACTCCCAGAATTCCACAGCCAGCAATGCTGGCTGTGGAATTCTGGGAGTTGAAGTCCACATGCCTTAAAATTGTCAAGGTTGAGAAACACTGATTTCTAAGGTCATCTAGTCTCCTCCTCACATTGGCTAGGTCTTCAAAATGTAGGCTGTTCAAAACCTGTCCCCAAGCTGGGATTTCAATTGTGCTTCTCACCTGAGAACATGAGGAGATGTCTTTGAAGTTCTTCTCCAACACAACGGATTTGCTGTCTGGACTGATGAGGTTAATTTCAAACCGACCCACCTTCGAAGAGAAAAACATGTCAAAGCAGGAGGTGATGCGTAATATCTTGGACAAGCTGCTCTGAAAATCTGGGGCCAGCTCTGAAATATTTCCTCACGTAGCTTATTAAAGGCATGTAAAAGGGAAGCTTCCCATAACAGTTGTTCTGCCAAGAACGAGGCAGAGGTGCTGGCAAGAGACTGCTTGACTAACCCTCTAAAAAATGAGAAAGGCTGGCAGAGGCCCTCTCCAGCCCTTGGCTTCAGTTTCAGAGAGCAGGAGCTGCACCAGGATCTTCCAAACACTGCTTCCATTTTTTCTCTCAACTCCCACCTTAGTATTCATTTCTTGGCGAAAGTAACTGACATCAGCTTGTGCCCTCCATCAAAATACAAAACAATCCATCAATCAGGTTGCCAAATGTTCATTGCTGTGGGCCTCTCCAGAGCGTAAGAGCCCCTTTACTTAATCCCTTACATCAGTGGTTCTCAACCTGTGGGTCGGGACCCCATTTGGGGTCGAACGACCATTTCACGGGGGTCGCCAAACAATGCAGTCCGCCATTTTTTTCCCCTTTTCCCTAGCTGCGCTACTCCCTTTTATTCTATTAGCTTTTGAAACCCAATAGAATAGACTCTCTTGAATAGAGTTTAATTCTATTGGCTTTCAAAAGCCAGTAGGAATTGTCCAGGCTGTCTCTGCCGTGCTGAGCCCGCCAAAAGTCCCATTCTGCAAACGGTGCTGCACCAGTTGAGTAGTCCTCGACTTACGACCGGTTGGGGGTCGCGGCATTAAAAAGGTTGAGAACCACTGCCTTACATGTCAAAGGTAATTGTAACACCTTCTTCCATTGATCACTGATCAGAGATGGAGACCAGGAGCTGTCTCTTTTCACCAACTGCTAAGTACGGGCTATAAAAACACAACTGTTTTTCTGTCTCTGTCTCTCCCTCTCTTTCTCCCCCCCTCTCTCTCCTCTGCATTCTTGTGTTTACCTCACAACAATGTAATTTCAGCCTATCTTAAAGAGCTGGAGATTTTTTTAAGCCAGAATAATTTGCTTCTAGCAAGTCTCTTCCTTCTCTTTGCATCTTTACTCTTCAACACCCCAAAAGATACAACTCCCCCAGGACATGTATGCAATAATACCCCTTATTCTGACTCTCAAATCTCTCAGTCCTGTAGGAACTGGCAAAATTCAAACTCTTTTAAAAAAGCAACAATCCAAATGAAATGAGGTGTTGTCTTACCTGAACGCCTTTTCTCAGCACGGAGATGGATAATCCACCAGTGGGTTGAGATTGTATTCCTGCCCAATCAGATCAGTCAGCCAAAGTTGTCATGCCCATCCTGGACCACGAGATCCCCAGTCTTGACACGAGCGAAGCCATTGACTGACAGCAAGACATTGTGGCTCAAACTAACTAACCCTAGACCTACATGACCTATAAGGGTGGGCGTGGATTATCCATCTCCGTGCTGAGAAAAGTCCTCATAGCCACCGGGTCTTCTACAAAAGACCTCCCAAATGGCACCCCTCAGTTCGCAACTACTGAAGCATCAAAGCACTACAGCTGTATATCCATTTTAACCAAATGGATATAACATTACGTTTTGCAAGAGCACTGAATCATCCAGAGCAGGGGTAGGCAACCTTGGCTCTTTTATGACTCATGGACTTCAACTCCCAGAATTCCTGAGCCAGCCATGCTGAGGAGAAAGGGAGAGGTTTCCAAGCTGAGCCATGCTGGCTCAGGAATTCTGGGAGTTGAAGTCCACGAGTCATATAAGAGCCACGGTTGCCTCCCCTGATCCAGACCAAACATGACCCCAACAGGACTGTCCATCCCCACTGGGTCCATCAGAAATGGCCCTACCTGAAACAACATTGTCCTGTTTTTTTCAGAGTCTGAGGGCTGGACGTGGCTCGGGGCGCTGGCATGGCGCCTTCGGGATGAAGGCTTGGAGTTATTCTCCTGAGCTCTCCTCTGCAGGCTGGCAGCGCTGCTGCAGCGAGAACGGAATTCCAGCTGTTCCTCCATTCCTGAGTCCTCCAGGATCCGCTCTGGGAAAGAGGTCCGGCAGCTGGTCAAACTGGCCAGGTTGGTCTGGCTGCCCACGATGAACATCCCCTGGGTGCCTCCACTGGAACCCTCCATCTCCTGAAAGGGACTGTCCAAGGGGGAAGAGGGTCCATCTTCCCATGTCATGAGGTCCACGCTGGACTCCGTGCTGCCGTGCTCGCTGAGCAGCTTCAGGCGCTGACGTTCGTGCAGGTGGAACTTCTCGATGCAGTCGTCGATGAGGGAGGAGGGGGCCTTTTTGTGGGCCACTGTCACCTTCCCACAATAGAGGACCTCAAATTTTTGGGAGTTGTAGAAGGCATCTTCATTTTCTTTATTGGGCTTCACATCTTCTTTGAGGGCTGCTTTGGAAGCCTGTCTTATACTACTGATAACATCTGGAACCTTAAGAAGAAAGCAAAAGGAAGAGAGAGAATAACATCACGAAGGATGCTTAAAGTGCAGCGAAAACACAGAGCACAAGTGAGGCAATTCCCGCATGTGTTACAACAATGCCCAGAATTAGTTTGTAGTCCTGAATTCAAAAGAGCGTGGAGAAATCAGAGCAATTTTCAACTCAAGGTAACCTTGACCTGCCCAGCCTTCTCTGGCAGAACCACAATATTTGATTCCTTTGTTCCAAAGATGCTTTTTCAAAAGGCAACTGGATTTTCCTTGCTTTCTCCTTGAAGACATTTTACTTCTCATCCAAGAAGCGTCTTCAGTTCTGACAGAACTGAAGAAACTTCTTGCATGAGTCAGTACTGAAGAAGCATATTGGATGAGAAGTGAAACGTCTTTAAGGAAAAAACAAAGAAAGTCCAGTTGCCTTTTGAAAAAACATATCTGCAAGTTCAAACGAGATATGAAAAAGATGTTAAAACAATGGGGTTTTATAAAGAACAGACGGAATTTGATCAGATACTGCTAAAAACAGATGAAAAGTTGATTAAGAAACTCTATAGATTTCTGTTAAACTTAAAGACGCAGGAAGAACAAGTAAAAGAAACAATGATAACATGGGCAATGAACTTTGGATATAATATAGAATTAGAAGACTGGCAAAAGTTATGGGAAAGAAATATTAAATTAACTAAAGCAGTGGCATATAAAGAAAACTTATATAAAATGCTTTACAGATGGCATATGACACCAGTGAGATTAGCAAAAATGTATCAAAATAATTCAAACAACTCTTGGAAATGCAAACAAAGACCAGGTGGTACTTATTATCATATCTGGTGGACATGCCCTAAAGCAGTGGTTCTCAACCTGTGGGTCGGGACCCCATTTGGGGTCGAACGACCATTTCACGGGGATCGCCAAACAACGCAGTCCGCCATTCCCCCCCCCCTTTCCTTAGCTGTGCTACTCCCTTTTATTCTATTGGCTTTTGAAAGCCAATAGATTAGACTCTCTTGAATAGAGTCTAATTCTATTGGCTTTCAAAAGCCAATAGGAATTGTCCAGGCTGTCTCTGCCCTGCTGAGCCCGCCAAAAGTCCCATTCTGCAAACGGTGCTGCACCAGTTGAGTAGTCCTCGACTTACGACCGGTTGAGTAGTCCTCGACTTACGACCGGTTGGGGGGTCGCAGCATTAAAAAGGTTGAGAACCACTGCCCTAAAGCAAAAAGATTTGGGGTTAAAATGCTGTACATTTATGGTTGGAGAAAATAACTAAAAAACAAATAGACTTTAAGCCAGAATTATTTTTGTTAGGAATAATAGGAGCAAATTATGAGAAAGATTGCAGATATTTAACACTGGAAAAATGAAAATTTACCTTGTAAATTAAGAAAATTTTAGAGTGTTCAGAAATGGATAGATTGACTTTAAAGATAAAAGAGAAAGAAGACTCAGTGTACTTTAGAACATGGGATAACTTCTATCAATGGCTAGAAAAACGAGTCAGAGAGAAAGGAATGTGATATGTAATTTTGAATATATATTAGCAAGAACAAGGCTATTGAGTTATTAATTAACATATTGTTTATGATAATTAACAATTATCTATTATTGTTTGTTAAACATGTCAACCCAGACATTATACTGTTTGCTAAATATTGAGAATGTTATTTGGAAAAAACTCAACCCCAACCCCAACCCTAATCCTAACCCTAACCCAAATCCCAACCCCGACCCCACTTTATTCCTAACCCTATACAAACTAATAAAATCTATACGAAAAAGCATCTTTGGGACAACCATGACTTGGATGACTGAAAATCTCCATGGGCATTTGATTCCTTTCTCCTCAATACATTATATTTGGCTTTTCCCAAGCACAATGGCATTTCTCCTTGTTTCTCTATAGGAGTAGGAAGCTCTATGGACACTAGAGGCACAGTGGAAAAAAAACATAATAAATAAATATTAACTCTCCAAACTCTTGACATTAATTGCAGATTTAATTGGAAAGCCAACCCAAGCTTTGAAGTAATGTATATAATTAATACATAAAGATCTGCAACATTTTAAGGAAAACTTTGCATTTCTATATGTGTGGCAAACGAATGTATAAAGGTTCTGCTTCAGCAAAACATCAAAACCAAGAGGCAGACGTTTGAACTACCACTGAAATTCCATTTCCTTTTATCAAAAAACCAAAACAAACCCTGAAAAACCAGATACAAGAAGAACGCAACTGTCCCACGGTCTATCCTTCCAGTCACGCTAGATCAGCATTGCAAACATGCAACACTGGCTTTTTAAAGATACAAACGAGAGAGGGAGGGCTTGGAAGCTCTTCAAGGGACAAGATTATGCAAGGCAAAACTCTCTCTTGCAGTCGCAACAACAATGAAGAAAGGGAATGGAAAAAGAAGTGAAAGCTTTCTGGTCTGGAGTTGATTTGTTTTGAACAAGACGACAACAACCAGCAAAAAAAGATAATTTCCAGATACTGTTAGGTTGAAAGCCAACATCATAAATATTTCATTTGAACCTGCATCCATTTAGGAACAAAAAGATACAAAAAAATCCCTCGCATATTTATGTGAAGTCTATGCAAAGTTGACAGCTCATTTGTAAACTCAATTCCACTTCTAAACAGGAAACTTTTATTTTACTTTTGTCCAAACAATAACCTGGAAGAGCCATGAAGCCAAGGAAGTCCAGTTGCCTTGTAAAAAACCATCTTTGGGACAACGGTGACCTACATGGACTGAGAATCTCCACAGATATTTTAGAATGGTGTTTTTCCTACCCATTCTTGAACAACCCTGAGAGATACTTGAGGCTGCAGTTGACCAATCCAAGGTGATTCAATGACCTTGATGGTCAAGTGAGAACACAGATTTCTGTCTTCTTGCTCATTATAGGGAGAGATGTGTTACCGTAGTCCAGTAGTTTTTCAACCTTGACAACTTTAAGATGTCTGGACTTCAATTCCCAGACAATAGGTTACCTCGGGAATTCTGAGATATGAAGTCCACACTTTTTTTTTACAAGTTTTATTTATAATACAATTAAAAACAAACAAACATTGGATTTGACGTGACATTCCAGTATATACATTCTTATCAGATTATTCCACTTTTTACAATCAATTCTTCATCTCTACATATACATCTAAGTTTTATATGCAATACTTGTTCTAAAATAACATATATTTCTATCTTAACATTCATCTTTAATTCCAACCGTCCTCTTCAAATTCCTCCAGCGGTAAAATTTATCCCAGGTTTCATAATAAACTGATCCACATTTATCTTTTAATATCATTGTGAGCCTGTCCATTTCCGCACATGCTAAAATTTTATGTATTAACTCTTCCTCTGTGGGAATTTCCTTGCTCTTCCATTTTTGCGCTAAAGCAAGCCTAGCTGCAATCAGGATGGAAGTCCACACCTTTTGAAGATGTCAAGCTTGAAAAGCAGCTCTCTCATCAGAATAAATGTTACTATATTCCTGAGTTTTGTCTTTCTGTCTTCATACAGCACACTACAGTATAATCATGACACCTGTATCTACAGAAGACAGTGTATAGGGCAGGGGTAGGCAACTTCGGCACTTTTATGACTTGTGGACTTCAACTCCCAGAATTCCTGAGCCAGCCATGCTGAGGGGACAGGGAGAGGTTTCCATGCTGAGCCATGCTGGCTCAGGAATTCTGGGAGTTGAAGTCCACGAGCTGAGGTTGCCTACCCCTGGTATAGGTAATCCATGACTCACAACGGTTTGTTTAGTGACCATTCGAAGTTACAAAAAAGTGACATGACCATTTTTCACACTTATGACCACTGCAGCATTCCCATGGTCACATGATTTACATTTGGAGGCCTGACAACTGGCTCATATTTATGACGGTTGCGGTGTCCCAGAGTCACATGATCCCCTTTTGCGACCTTCTGACGAGAAAAGTCAATGGGGAAACCAGGTTCACTTAACAACCATCTTATTCACTTAACAGCTGCAGTGATTTACTTAGGGTGATGAGACAAGTCGTGAAGTGGGGCAAAATTCACTTAATGAATTTCTCGCTAAGCCACATCAATTCTGCGCTCAACTGTGGTCGTAAGTTGAGGACTACCTGTCTTCTAGATGTATAAAGATTCCAAATATGGGTTTATTAAATTAGTAGGCTCAAAATACTCTCTGTCCCTTCAAATGTAATACAGTGCCTTTTTCTTCTGGGGATTCTATGGAGTAAGGAAGATATTATCTAACTTTGGCCAACAGAAAAGCCCTTAAAAAGCCCATGATGTCTTCCTCTATAAGGCAAAGTAATTTACCTTGCTATGGAATTGGCAAGGATTTAAATGTGTTTCTGTGAATTATTAGTTTTGGTCACTACACAGTTTTTCAAAGATTACTCATTCAAAAATGCAACATTTCCTGATATTCAGCATACAGGGGAAATAGGTCTGTAAATGTTTGACTACCTATAGGACTCTACATACTTACAACTTTGCCACATAAGTTTAATTGATTTAAATATTGCTGAAATATTTTTCACATGCAAGAAGTTTGGTTTGGTCATTTTCTGCCTCACCTTTATCAAGCCCCTTGATAATCCAATTATATTCCCTTGATGGCAGATGAATATTTCAAGAATTGGGTTTATGAAAGTTACCCAACTTGATGAACACAAATTAATTGTCATCCTAACTATGACTCTATTTTTCAGGTCAAAATGGGAAACAAAGGTCTTTCTTCCACTCCTTAAATGTTATCGTAATGATCTTCAAAAGATAAGATTCCTATTTCTGCTAGAAAACACAGGAGAAGCTCGGTCACTTGAGGCTGGATTCAGATGCCAAGGATCTGTTCTTTAGAAGAAGACGGAGGCTACGTAAACAATTATGGAAAGTTGTTACATACAGAGCTTGCTTAACAGCCTGTATTTCTGGAGGAATCCTGTAAAACAGGAATGGTAATCTACTGTCCAATTTATCAGACCTCAC